GTGTTTCAAATTGTCGATGCTAAATATTATCGCCAACGATTTCACTTGTTGGTTTCGCTTTACGCAATTTGTCATGTAATTTTGTGATTCAGTAGCATTGATGGTACTTATCCAATCTTTGAAAGTTTGAATTGATAATTTGATCTCATCATTTTAAATCCAATTAGATTTTTTTATATTCTAAAGTGGCGAACGAGCAAGCAGCCTTATAATATAAAAAAAATCTAACGCTAATCTGCCGAAATGCCGAAGCGACTTCTGCCAATAGTCGACGGCAATTGCAGATGCCTACCCTTATTCGAAGGAGGAGATACACATAACGGATAATTCCCCTTTTTTGCATCTCCTACGTCATCAAAACTACTTTCCTTCCTTTTCTGTCAAGAAAAGAGTGTAAAGGAAAAGGGACTAAAATTGGGTCTCCGGTTCCACACTCATTAGACGAAATGCGGAATTACTCCCATTTCACGTCTGTCAGATGTATTTAAATTATAGACAAATTATTCGCAAAGTTACTTATTTTATAAGTATTGTCTATGTTTTGATCCATAAAGCCAAATAATATTATTATGGATGTCGGATTTCGTGAATATCTTTTTTTTTTTTACACGCATAGTATCGAAATTTATTTACATCCTACGTGAGCTAATTTATTTTATTGAAATATTCCGAGATTTTTACCCAAGGTCCATTTAGATTCATCATCTTAAGTACAGTGAACTCTGAATTATGTATATTAAAATATACTTAAGGTTGTGACTATGAGCCTTGGTTTTGGTAAACACTATGTGAATCCAAATTTCATCTCTTTATTATCCCTTAAGTTTAATTTAAGGAACTATCGTTTCTATTTTGTTTGACATAAGAATTATTATTGCGTTGCATGTAACGGATCATAATGGCACATGTCATGCTCAGGTCGCGTGAAGTGTGAAGGTTCTGTTGCCTGCCATGACATAGTTTTCGGCCTTTAAACCCGTGTTAATCCAATTATCCATACATTACATACATATTTTTATAAATATTATGTTTTCTGTAGCTTCATCTTCAGCATATTGGCAAAACAAAAAATTACAAGTATCCTATTTAAATTTTGACGTAGCGGACGCCCCCCTAATATATAACGCACAACCAAAGACGTACAATTTAAGCGAAACAAAGGTATTATTGATGGAAAAAAATACCATAATCACAATAAAATTCTCGGCCAATAAGCGAATAAATTAGATAAAGGGTTGGTTAATAACATGAAAGTTTCCATAATATTTAATCCAATGTTATATTCTCGTAAAATTTTACACAACGGTTTCCGCTAGGCGTAATTTTGACATAGCAGATTGTCAAATACTCACACGAATAGCTAGTCTTTCATGGTTTTGATTGATTACTGAAACCTTAAAGTTTATTTTGCAAACAATGTTATCAATATTGTGATAAATTTACTGCAACATAAACGAGTAAGATTACATAAAGAATTTATAAAGTTCCGAGCATTCCTTGCAGATAAAAATATTGCCATAGACTTAATATTTTTTTAGGCTATTTAAGTTGAATTTGGGTTTAGAATGAAGAGATAATCAAATTAAAGTAAGTAAATCAGTTACGTAAATTATTCTAGCGTGGTGAAATGCGCCACTTTTCATAGTTTCTATGTAAAAATCAAACATTGGCGGTTTGTTCATATTTGCGCCTAGTAAATAGTTTTAGCAAAATTCCAAATGAAAATTTTGTGTAAAATAACAATAAGGAAGAAGCGCATTAAAAGTTTCGACAAAGTATTTCGAAAATATTTTAGAAACATGTTAACTGGGCATTTCAGAAGTTTGAGTCGGTTCATTAGAGTTGTTGAAAGTTTTGAGTATTTACAAATTGACTAAAGTTGGAGTAGGTATTTCTTGGAAATGTGGAATGTCGAATGAGTTATTCATGGAAGGGTTAATAAGATATTTCGAATATCGAAAGAAAATGAACAATCGAGCGACTTGAATGATATTGTGACTAAAAGTAAGACTGGGATTTTTAAGGAATTTAATAAAAGAATATACATAGTTACAGTCTAATTCTAAGCTAAGCCTAATTTTCTTAAAAAGTTGGGAAGGAAAAGTGAATTTGACTGTGGAGGAGACGCATAGGAAGGGGAAATGTCCTCTTTATGTGCGTCTCCTCCTCCGTCAATTAAATGTAGGCAACGCATCTGCAATTGCGGATGTTTATGGGCAGCGGTCGCTTTCCATTTCGGTGGACTCAGGTGGCCGATTGCTCGTTTGCCACCTTATAATACATAAAAAAAAAAATTTGTTTTACATTTTAAATAAGTTTAAATTGGAGTGTGCCGTGAAACTAAATTTCAAATTCAAACATTAAAAGTAAATTTATTCGCTAAACAAGCAAATGTAACATACAAAGTTGTTTCGTGCCAACAAAGTTTAGTCATCGCGCACTCGTTCATCTTTCTAGTTGACAGTTTTAGTTGACGAGAAATGTTTTATTACAAAGAAATTCTAATGAATTAGTTACGTTGATACATATGTTAAACGTATGTTAAACATCTTTGTTTTATTGTTCGATTTGCATAGCTTTGTTTTGAAGCGAATCATAATTCAGAAATTCAATTAATCGCATCACCGTCGATTGATGAGAAATTAATATTTCAGTTTCGCAGATGCTTGAAATAAAATAGAAAAAAAATCACACCTTCTTAGCGAAACTTTCTGTCTCAAACAAACACGTTGTGGAATGGTCTGTCATCGGTATTACCAAAGCACAACGATGAGGGTCCAAGGTACAATTTCTTTAAAGGCGGGCAACGCATCTAGTTCCCCTGGTATTGTTCATATCCGTTAATTACCTTGGTGTTCCCGGCGTTTGTATACTCCTTTTCTTATAGAAAAAGGACAGTTTAACTAAACTTTGAGAGAACTGTCCCAGTTACTATTGCATCAGTCCGAAGCGGAATTTAGCCATACTTTAAACTTTATTCTTCTTGTTACATTTTCTATATTAATAAATTAATTCCATATTAATATTCAAATGACGGCAAGCGAATTATTTTCAGCTTAGAGACTGCGTATGCATAAGCCGCCTCAGCGAAATCAATATTCCCGTTACTGAGTGTTTCAGAATTTTGAAAGATTAATGAATAATTAATATAGAACAAGTATCACTCGAAGCTTACCAGCTTTCTGAATTATCTTATTGTGCTGAATATAGATTAAATTTATAACTTTATTAGTTATGCGTGATATATTTTTGTCTTGTTACGTTCTTCTTTTTATATCTTTTTCCGCATAATTAGTACAACAATAACAATAAAATAAGGCAGCTAGAATAGGTTTAAATTATACTTTTAATAAGTAATAATAATCTTACAAGCGGTTAGAATTAATGTGTTTTTTTAGGATTATTTGTAAATTATTACCTGACTACTTTAAAACGAACTTCCTTTGTTAATTCTCAAAGTAGCTAAGTATATATGCTAGTAAAATATCAGAACAGATATCGGAAAATTACGTACAAATGTGTAACGTAGTCAGAAAGAGTAGGTTTAAAAGTTGTTAATTAATTCTGCGCAGACAAATTCGGGGGAAAAAGCTATTTAGAAATAAAACGAAATGCAATCTGTAACCATAATTTTAATTCATTTACACATAATTCATAGCAAAACTATCAGCATGATATGTTATTAACTAGATATGTAACAATTAAAATAAATATCTTTATATTTCAAACCAGCACCAAAAATGCATTATCCTAAAACGATCACATTTTATATAATAATAAAATACATATATTATTTATATCAACAATCATATAAAGCTAAAAACAGATTTAATATTAACAATTAAAAATAAATTTATAACAAATTAAGAAATGTTTTTTTGAATCTTCAAATGACGAAATAAAATATACCTGTACAAAGTATGTACTAAAAATAAATAAAAACCATAAACTTGCGTTTCATAAATTAATAAAGAACTAAATACTTAAAATCTTTATTCTAACTCTAATATTTTTATGAACTTTGAAACAGATTTTATTATAAGCTTTGTATTAAAAGTGGTACAATTTTAAACAGTATGTTTGTAATTATTTTAACACATTTTTTCACAGTGATAAAGCAAATTTAGAGCTCGCGCACAAGTTTGACTGAACAATCGCACAACTCTAAGTCTCGCATTGATTCTTATGATAGAGATGCAGTAGTGTGCCTACTCGATGTTTAGTTGTGCAACTGAACAGTTGTATTCGCTGCGAAACAATCGACAATCGCACAAGTTATGCGATTGCTTAATCAAAGGCGCACCCGTTCATTTGTTTAGACAACCTTTTACGAAAAAAATGCAATTTTCAACATCTAATAAATTAAATTTCATGGATCTTATTTCAAAGAGCTCTATCGTTGTTCACGGAAACATGTTTATTATGGTTTCGCGTTCCAACTAAAACAATGTTATGCTGAGTTTTAAATACTCAAGTTTCGCTTCTAGATTTGTTTACGAGGTAAAGAAGGGATAAATTTATTCCCTTTCTTTAATATTTCTGTATCAATTAATCTCATTTTAACATAAATAAATTTTGATACATAAATTATAAATTGACTAATATAACAATTTAAATATAATCTATTATTCCTATTTAACAGATTGTGCTACTTATATGAAAATCATTAAAGTTTTCAGTTTGTACAAACATTTTTATGTGCGATATTTACAATGTCTTAGAGAAAACAATATTAATAACATTTTAAAATGACATTAAAATAAACCGATAGTAACTTTAACTGACGCTTTTCTCTCACTCTAATCGAGTCATTTCTAAATTAAATCGAGTAAAAATAATTTTGTGCGTATATTTTAAAAGCCAAAGATATTTAAGAAATATAGACTAGGCATAGTGTACAAAATGTTTTCACCGGTACATTAGTTGTTATAAAATAAACTAAAAACGTGTAACAAAATAAAATATAAACATTTAAATATTATTTAGTTACATGTATTGGCTTTTTAAATACAACTAATTACCTAGACAGGACAATCAATAGATAGCGTTAGTGAAATTATGTGTAATATTTTAAATGAAGTGTCAAATATGCCTACTCTATATATGTTTAATCTCTTTGTTAAGCCATTGTGCTTACGCTTAAGTTTCTCTCGCCTATGACATATTCTTTTTTACATTTTTAACGTCATCGCCAGGTAAGAAAGGTGTCAAGGATGTGAATTGTTATGAGGTCTTTGTCTTGAGCAGGAGGACGGGCCAGTACATGGTGACGAACAATAGAAAGAGTGCGGGGAACACGACCCGCGACAGCTTGTCTATCTCCCGCCACAGGACGCGCTCCTGACCCGTGTCCGCGTCTAACCAGGCCACCTGCCGATAGTGTACTCTCCACTATATGTTTCTTATTATCAAATGGATGCAACTCAGATAATTGTAAATGGTGTTATGTTCAGGATTAAAGATTGCGTTTTTTTTGTAGTTGTAAAAATTAGTTAATGGGTGAGCAAAATTTAACTTGTTGGAGAAGTTTCAGATTTAAAAATCACTAGTGATTTATAAGCGTAATTTCTTAATTTCTTGACTATCTTTCATCTTATATCGGGTAATTATAGTTCACCACTGAGAGGCTCTCAGCCTACCCTAAGTAAGGGTTGACTAGACTTTAGTCAACCACGCTGGCCTACTACGGGTTGACATGGCATATATCTTTGAATTTCTTCTCTGATATGTGCAGACAACATGATGTTTCCCTTTACCAGAACGTTGGGTAAATTATGAACATATGAAATTCAGAAAACGAAAGTCTCATTAGTATGGTGGGATTCTTACCCAAGATCCGTAGATTATAAGTCAAGTGCTTAAACCCTTGAGCCACCGATGATGATGATGATGATGATGATGATGTTATCGTAAGATATTCAACACTTACTTGTAATATGCTCTGTCGTCGTTCAACCCCCACCAGGTGTGGGGTAGGCGCGGTGGGGGTGGTGTGCAGCGCGGGGGCGGGGGCGGGGGCGGCGGCGGGCGGCGGCGAGGCGGGGGAGGTGAGGTCCACCTTGCGACAGCGCACGCCGCCGCCCTCCCACGCCGCGACTGTCCCGCAAGAACCTTTCTCACCATTCAATCGCTGGAACGATGATAGTAAAATTATTTGCTAAATTGTAAGTTTTGGAATAAGTCTTCTATATCTATATGAATATCTATGTATATAAAAGAAAGTCGTGTTAGTTAGACTATTTAGTTATAACTCAAGAACAGTTTACCGAATATTAGCGAGGAGGACGGACATAGATACGATTTATTTCTATATGTATTTGATTCACGCAAAAACTATTGGGACGATTTTAAAAAATATTTCACCGTTAGAAAGGTAATTTATCTGTGAGTAATATAGGCTATTAAATTTTTTCATTTCTTTGTTATTTTTTAATTCCCCTCGGACGGAGTCGCGGGCATAAGCTACTTACAAATAGAAAAGATTTGTATTTTTGATCTAATTCCTTCACCATTAAAAAGCTGCGTTATCACTGAGTAACATAGTGTACATTTTTTTTAATTTAACATGGATGAAGTGGCGAAAAACAACTAGTTTATTATAAAGTTAGGTATGGGCAATCCCGTAGACATCTGTAAGAAATTCTTACTTAACTTAGTCCAACCATGCCGGGATAAAAGAGAGAGGTTTTTACATATATTTCAATGTTGTAAGGAACGCTCTTGATAAAACTATCATAGTTTAACAAAAAAAAACATACAGACGAATTGAGTACCTCCTTCTTTTGGGAAGTCGGTCAAAAAGCGCTCTTAAGATAATTTAAAACCCATGAGTTATTTGTGTGTGTTAAAAATATCACAGATTTCGTCGTATTTAAAAGCAGTATAACATTTTAATTTGTAAGAAATGACATATATTACATTTAAATTGTTTTTGAATATGATGTTTACAATTATTTACTAAACAGTCTAGGAACAACCTAATAAGATATTTAAATCAACAAGTTTAATCAATTGTGATTATTTAACAAACGAGAGGTAATTTATTAAACATTGAAAAGTAGACGGTATCGTAACTTCGGTTAATTAAGCGAAAATTATTCCAGTTAATCAAAACCGTTACGTAATTATAGAAGTTTACGTAATAAAAATGTATTAAACTAGCTGTTCCTGTGCGACTTCATCCGGATAAAATTATGAAAATTTTATTTTATTGTTTACATGTGTCGAATTATCAATTGCAAATATCAAAATGACGTGACGATGGCAACCTTGCTTCCTTGATGTTGGCAGCAACTGGTCTCTTTTCCCTCATTAGGGTTTTTATCCAAAATATTTACCCCCTAAATTTAATGGCGTGAAAATATATAGCCTAAAGCGCGTAAGTGTAAGGCTTTTTATTAAAAAAAAGGATTACTCAAAAACATGCTGTAATTGCTGACATCTTAGGCAACAAAGTATGTGTTTACGCTTTATTATAATAGTATAGATAGATAAAGTTCAGCACTCTGTTAAACGTAAAGGAAGTATATATGAGGGCGTGGTAGTGCCCCTTGAGTCGAAAAACGAAAAATATTTTTCTAATCCATAGCAGAGCAATTTCTTACTAAGAACTTTGTATTAGATTTTATCAAAATTAAAGTGAAAATATATTACCACTGGTATAATTCTGGGCATCGATTCTTGTGCTTTCGTTTTATTCATCTGATATTGTTTGTCCAATACTTTGACGACCACGAATTCTCCAAGCGCCGCGAATACAAACATCATGCAGCCAGCCATCCATAAATCTAGTGCCTGAATAAATAGATATTAAATTGCTTTGTTTATCTATCAATAATGTTATGACAAATAAATATTATAACTAATTGCTAATTTGATGAAAGTTTTTTACATTGGTAGAGCACGCTTAAACATCTTAACAACACAGAAGACAGCCGTGAAGTGAGAGCAATTCCGCGTTTCGTCTGATGAATGTGGTGCCGGAGGACAGTTTTGGTCCTTTTTACTTTCCACTCTTTTTCTTATGAGAAAAGATGGGAAGGGAAAGTAGATTTGACGGCGGAGGAGACGCATAGGAAGGGGAAATATCCTCTTCATGTGCGTCTCCTCCTCCGTCGGATAAGGGTAGGCAACGCATCCGCTATTGCGAATGTTTATGGGCAGCGGTCGCTTCGCCATTTCGGCGGTTATAGGTGGTCGCTTGCTCGTTTGCCACCTTTATAATAAGAAAAAGAAAGAATTGCTCGCAGTATTAAATAGACACTTATGGACTTTACATCTAAAGAGGCATTGAAAGATAAAGAATTTAAACTTACCTTAACATAAGCAACTGGTGGAATGTCAGCTCTCAAGCCAGTGAACATGGTGACCAATGTCAACATGCAAGTGACGAGCAAAGTCACACGGCCAGGTATAGCGTCCAGGTCTAACCAGAAACTGAACCAAGATAACATAACGACAAGAGACGAAGGCGCAAACGTCTGGATCAAATGATGACCAATTTGTCGTTCAAATCTGAAGTACACAACCAATCTAGAATAGTTTCCTGCAAGAAATGTATTCAATTTCCTTTATTATTTGATTATGGGTAACCTTATTTAATTAAATTGTTTATTAGTATTGCTTTCTTATTAAATATTTTACAGCTAATTGTGTAGGCTCTCAGATTCATAGAAAAACTGTAGTATAAATCACAATTTGTCTAAATTTTAGATTGTATTTAAGATTCTAGGAAGTCATAAAATATATTCTAACTAAATCACTAATTAAACTCAAAAAATGCATGTTTTCGATAACAAAAAGCTCTATTCTGTTAACAGGCTTTTCTACACAAGTATTCGATAAACAAAATCATAAAAGAAGACGGTACCAGGAAATAATTTGTAATTCTTGAAGTTCAACAAAAAGGGTCTTAAGGGTTAACTTGTTCTAACTTGTTTAGGGAGATGCATACTTATAGTTTTTGACGAGTAAATTCTATAGACATATTGAATCTTTCTCACATATCTTTTATACTCACCATCCTTATCGATCATGTATCCATTGGTCTCTTCCAGTCGCAGCGGCTCCCCGATGTGGTACTGCAGCAGTTTGAGCTCCGGGTTGATGGTCACTCCTGCGTCGCTCCAGCGGAAACGAACCTTTTGATTACTATACGAAACTGAAAAATACATTAACTTAATTGTTATTTCATATCTAGCTATCTATACTATTATAATAAAGCGTAAACACACACTTCTTTGTTGCTTAAGATGTCAGCAATTACAGCATATTTTTGAATAATTCTTTTTTAAAAAAGCCCTACACTTACGTCATGCTTTAGGCTATATATTTTCACGCCATTAAACTTGGGGGATAATATTTTAGATAAAAAATCTTAATGTGGGAAAGAGATAAGATGCTGCTAACATCAAGAAAGTAAGATTGCCAAAGTTTGTCATGTCATGTCATTTTGACATTTGCAATTGATAACTTGACACATGTAAACAATGAAATAAAATTTTCATAATTTTACGCGGATGCTGTCGCACGGGAACAGCTAGTTACTTAATACAATAAAACATAAACAAACACTACTTAGTTATATAGGATGTCTTTGAATAATTATTTTTTAATAAAAAGCTCTACACTGACATGAAAAAACCGTCATGTCGGAAACGAACAAAAACTACTAAGTGACAACATGAAGGAAGTAAGGTTGCCATGGGAACGGTAATTGTTATCCAATATCAATGGCTGCCTCTGTCATTTTTGCGTTTAAATGTTGACATTTCACAAATGTAAACAATAAAATAAAGTTTTTAGAATTCCATGCGGATGAAGCGTCACGGGAACGCCTCGATTTTTATAAAGGTCAGTAGCAAATAGCTTTCGTTCAAATGATAATGTTTGCTAATATAGTTCGGTAAAAAACATTTCAAGATGCTCTAAGAAATCTTGCTTTAAAAAATTATCACTATATAGATAAATCAAACAGCCATGTCAAGATACGGTTAGGAAATCTTTATAAAACATGTTTAAAAACGTGGAATTTCAAAAAAATCAGGGAATTCCAATAGGGTAGATACAAACATTTCAGAATGTATCTTTATTAAGCTTAATCTGACGAATAAATTGGCGAATTTGAGGCGACGAGGCATATATTTAGCGTCGATCACGACATGGGGCAGTTTTCAGTAGACGAGGACTTTGAAGTATAACTTTTAAGTATGTTAAAACACGTAATGTTACTAGAATGGATATGCGTATACTCACAGCTCTCTATGTAAATGGGACAGGATTGTATATCCATGGGATAAAGCTGGAACTCCATCTGACAGGCGATGATGGCGTGCATCCTCGCCGCGTAGCGCACCGTCTGGTTTCTATACAACGTCACTGACGAGAACTTGTGAGTTAGCTCCGCTATTTCTGTAAGAGACGTTTAAATTAACAGAATAAAGTAACTAAATGACATTATTGCAAGTGAGTATTGTATCGGAAATTATTTTAAAATTATTTATATATTTTGCTTTAAATAAGGTGAAACTGAAGTGACACAAATTATGAATTGTGTACTTATTGTTGTTCTCATTTACAATGTGATATCATTTATTTGTAAACTTTATGTTATACTTGAATATAAAATTGTTATGTGCAAAGTACAGACATAAAATATTGCATGACACACAAATATGAATAACATGTGATTTAAAACGTAACTTATGAGTGTCATTGAATTTACAAACAAAATAGATTTTTACTTCTTAAAGTAATTTACCAATGACATGTAAGATAAAATTTTTAATAATTCCCTCCCTTAAAGTCTTGGAAATTATAATTAAGGAAGATGTAAGAAGGTTCGTTATATTCATCCGGGATGAACCTAATTATGATCGTAGAATAAGTTATGATAATTTGCGGGCACTAGTTACATATAAATGTGTAGAAAGAAATCTTACGAATATCAACTAAACATCAAAGGAATAACCAATAAAAATAAATGAAATGGATTTTCACGGTCTAGATCTCGAGAGAGTGCCAAGGAGAGTGGTCGCGACCCTCAGGAATGAGGAAACGATCCGGAGAGAGAGAGAGAGAGATCTCGATTATTTAGCTAATCAATTGAATTTAATATTATCACCCTTATTAACGTTTTTTTAATTAAATCTTAGAAGTTGCTTTTTTAATAGATTACACGGATTAAATGCAGACCCTTAATAATTGAACACATTATTGTTCTGTGTGATTGTTAGCTTATTAGTATATAGTATACAAAAATGTGTTACGTTTACTTTGATGTTATTTTAATAGAAAAAGTGAAAAGGTATAAATGATAGTGCGTTTCATTGTGAATAATGCAATATCTCTCAGTTATCGTACCGGCCGAATGAAGACAAAAGTGGCACGCTCCTCCTAAAATTAAAGAGAAAAGTGAGAAGCAAATAAGTACAAGCGAAAGAATTTAAATTTGTCAAGAACATTCCTGATAACTAAAATAACAGTAAAACTACTTTTACGATCACATTCCGTTTCATCAATCCATATTCTAACTTTTTTTTAATTATAAGAAACAATAAAAGCAAAGGCATAGAAAGTAGAGAAGTATCTAAAAATTAAGTTACCGAAAAACCTATTAGTTCCGATTCAAGCAGCTATTTAAGTCAAGGTTATAATGAATTTGGTTCGTTATTAAATATAGAAAAGGCGGAAATTATATCATTCAAAGTTTTAATGGGCGCGCTTCCAAATGAAAGAAGATTGGCGCATAGCAGAAGGGTGACCTTCAAATTTTCGTTGCAGGTGAAATTTCAAAGTTAATGTCGAAACTATGATTCCATTATCATAACCATGCGCTTACGAAGAATTATATTCAGAATTGGGATAAATTCGCTGAACATTGTAAGATACATAGGACTGTTAGCAAATAAGAAAATGAGTATATAATTTTGTTTATTAATTTAATATTAGAAATAGATATTATTCCTTTCAAGGAGCTTATAAATGTCCAAATGAGACCGCAGGGATTAGAGTCCGTCTTGTAAAAGCTTGCCTCTAGGCTACGGAAGATACCAATTTAGATAGGATTTGCCGTTTTACCATATTAGAGATCGGTCCGTCGAAACACTCAAGGAGTTCTCAAGGCATACAAATGAGTATTTTTTATATAAACATCTAAGATATATTCATGAAACTGAATTATTCAAATAAGAGTTTTGATGTATTTGAGACATGTATTACATTTGTTTATGACTACTAAATAATTCTTGGAAAACTTCAAGCTTTAGCCTGCACAGATTTGGGCCGCAAGTTAGGGACATTTACCTGTGACTTTAGAGTTCAAGAAGTAAGGATCTGGATGCCAGAGGTTGTCAAAGAACTCCGGCGGCAGAGTGACGTGGTCATCGCCTTCCTCGAATATATCATCAGGCAGTTGTAGGCGGCTCTCACTCCACGTCTGTCTTATGAACATGTCCACTCTGAAACACATTTTATGGAAATAGTTATTTAATAGTACATTGTTGACATTTCGCTATAATAAGAAAGTCAGTATTAAGTTAGAAGGCATCAGACGATCCTATTGCTATGACTTTAACAGACTTGATTAAACGGGTGTCCATCCACCATGATTTTAGTTTATTTAAAATAGTTATTTTGTTTATTGAAAATAGTGTGTTTACAACCACGGTCCGACTAAGACTTCTGTCTGCGACAATTTAAAATGTTAAGCCAATTTTAATGAGTTCCTCTCAGCTCAGTTGAAATGACATTTTATGTAGTGTTTGAACAATAAAGACATGGCAAAATGTTTGAAAGTTTTATATCTTCAAAATGTTATACCCATCTTCATACTTAATGTTACCATGCGCCATTTACTTTCAATTGTACCTGATATTAAATGTGTATTCGACTATAAAACAGCTCGTTTCATTGTTTATGATATGTGAAAAAGTCCTTGAAATTACTTGGTAGCCAGTATTGTAGATTTCGGTTGCAACGTTTTCATTTAAGTTTCAATACAAGAGATCAACCAACATTTGAAAAGAGATGTTTTCGTTCCCTTCTTTTTTATCGGTTTTTATGTAAAAATCAATCACAATACTAGCCATTTTTTGTTACGATTAGCAACTTTCCATGATTTAAAATTATTCTTTCAAACATTTTTTCCATCACTAGAAGAAAATCTAAGAACAATTTTACTTAGTATTCAAAATTTAATACCGTAATTCACATAAACGTCAGAAACTTGCGAATGAATCCTGTCTTATGATGGTTTAATACATATTTGTTTTAGGTACTGATTATGTCAGCTACTGTCTAAACTAAATATTGACGGGGACTCAACTATGTTTCAATAAAGCTACCTAAAGTATACACAATCATCAAACTTATTTGATGAAGTATTTGTTTAGTGAACTGGGAAAAAATAATTAATGTTGAAACCTATATAAAGGTTGGTTAAATGATTGCGAGATTGCGAGAGAAAAAAGAATGTAGCTGCGATGCTGTATTATTTCGTTTATCTTTTGTTTTCATTCCAATTCCGTAGACTTAAATAGAAATCGCGTACTAAAGTCGTTTATGTTAACTTAAACGTAAAAAAAAGAAAACCACGCTCACTGTTCCATTAATAAATTTTAATTCATGACACTAACTTTATTTAACATGAAACTTTTGCTTTGTTTCAACCTGCTATAACATAATTATTTTCCATTGTCTACTGCGTCATTTTGTTTGACGTCAACTATGACATAAACCCTTAATGTGAAATGTTAAAAAAGTAAACGTTATTATCATAAAAAACATTACTAAGTGACTTTTAATAAGAAAATGGTTCATTTCTCTCCTTTACTTAGACTTTCAACGTAATAACTTTTAGTGATATTTTCATACTTGGCGAGAAAGCGCCTAAAGTATTTATGTTTTTTATTGTAATGCATCTTAAAAGGCAGTTTCTTTTGTTCTAGAACCTTCAGACCTCCATCGTAGATCGTAATTACATTTTTTAACGAAATAATTAAATTTCTCTCGAAGTATACTTAGTACAGTTTCTAACTAATATGCCATGGTAACAGTAAGGTCGTGTGTGGTCTGCAAAAAATATATTTCTATAACTATTTTGTCAAAGACGATACTATGCATAAATGAAGGGTCTTAGCAGTGAAATCCCACTGTAAATTACCTGAAATCCATGTCCTCGACGTTAATAGAGTTGACATCTACAACGTAGATACTAAACTCCACGATAACGGGCTGCCCCTTTCGTGACGGCGGTCTCATCTCTGTAAGAAAGAAGTCTTAACATAAGTTCGTGGTAGTCACAATTTCCGTATATTTAATATATGTATTAGAGTCTAGGACTGGCATTAGGGTAGGCCGAAATTAGGCGACAGCTCGAGGCGCTGGACGGAAAAGGCGCCACAAGTCTGCTGATTCCACAATTTCACATAAAATTGTTAATTGAACACCTCATCCCAACCACAGAGGTTTAAAAAAAGGGGGCAACGTAAAATTCGTCATGAATGTTGTGGTGTGTATGTGGGTATGCCAATAATAATGTACCGTCAGTATTGCTAATAATAAATCAGTCCAGTACCAACCGCCGTTTCATTAACACCCCTACATTACATTGGCGACAAGGATTTTAATTTTAATAGTAAACCCGCAAAGTATTTCGCGAAGAGGACGTGCGTCTCCTCAATAAGACAAGAAGAAGAATATAACAGTAAATACCTTTAACATAATTCTCCGGCAGCACCACTCTCGGCTTCAAAGTATGATTCCTTTTTGACACGACGTCATTACAAAGCCTGAAACAAAATATTTCTCGTTGAATAAATTGGCTTCTTATTAGAATCTGAGTAAATATGTCGTTACCTCAGCCTTCATCCTTATCCTGTCATTAGGACATATTTATAACAGCTCTTTTCGTTTATCTAATATCAAAGGCAGTTCAAATAATTTGAAGTAAAAACGTTATTGAACATATTTCAAACATTTAATATTATAAGTAAACATAGATCTAATAAAAGTTAACAGGTTGTTCCTAATTTAAAACATTCAAGAAAAACAAACTATAATATGTTACTTTACTATTTAGCTTTTCGTAATAATTTAGTTTAAAACAATATGAGACTAATAGTAATTCAACTCTAACAATATTTAAACCACAAACTTATTCATAAACAAGATTAATGGCATGTTTTAGTTTATTCACAATCGTAGACTTAAAGTTTAATCGTATAAATAGCAATTTAAAGTTCAACAATGTTGAAATGAGGGTAATCGCGAAATTTTAAAGGCACGGACTATGACGTCAATGGTAGTTATTTGCTAACATAGCGTGCGCTCATTCAAATAATACTAGCGTTCTTGTGACCTGAAGCACCCGGTCATTGTTGTCTTTAATGCAGCTTAACTCGCGGCTGTAATGCAAAGGGGTAGATACAAAATACCAATGTTCATATATCTGGCTGATGAGACTTGCTGTTTGACAAATAGTTCTGTTAGAAAGTAAAGAAAATTTTCGTAGACGTAAAAAAACCACCAAAAAACACTTTTGCAGTATATAAGATAGCAGACAAATGTCGTAGGACAATTTCGACATTGCCCGTTTGTACTATTTGTACTTCAAGAACACTAAATGTCTGCAATTTTTTTTGACATAAATCCGTATTTTTACGTCAATGAAATAAAAACTCAAAACTAAATCTTTCCTTGAACAGTAAACTGAACAAATAAAACACTTTTTAAGCCGCTTTTCTGCATTTGAGCAAAAACAACAGGCACACATACAGGGTGTATTTTAATTATATTTACTAATGACGTAAGAACTGACCAGGCCAAGGCAACGTCATCGATTGCTATATTACTCGCACGCCATTCTATATTTAGAATTAAAAATATTCCTATTTTATGCCGAATGAGTCTACAATGTATTAAAACTGTACCTCTTGTCTTTTTGACGTTTTGTTTGTAAGCCACATGTAAGACTTTAGGGTATTTTGAAAAATATTGGTACAATTATGGAAAAAAAACAAAAAACAATAACGTCCTATTTAAAAAAAATTGCTGTCATACAAAGAAAAATCTATTACAAAGGCCAGCATGTTTTATTAATACAAGGGGACACGCAAGCTGACACTTGATTGAGTGAACCTTTCTGCACATGATATTTTAATCTTTGACGACAAAGATTAATGCTTATTTTATCTATGGTCGAAATTCGTTTATGCTCGAGTGAACATGTCTTAAAATCTATGGAAAGTGAATCTTGACAACTTTTAAAATATTAATTTCATTTTATCTACAATTTTAGTTTAAGGTAATTGAAACGCTTATTAGTAGGTAAATAATGTTACAAACAAACTTGAGAATTCACCTTCATTATACAAATGCTAATTATTAAGGTAAGCCCACTGGCTAATGTGACAGTGGCCAAGTTCAGCTAATAAATTGACAGTAAGTTCAGTACGCTAGGTCTTATCTTAACAACTGGTGTGACCTTAGCTGATAGCGGCAGGCTGATGCTATCCCCAAGGCCACAGCTACTTCGTTGCTAATGGAAAATAATCACGCTCCAGTACTCGCTTAGGAAACATAACTTTACAGTTTAATAACGGTTTAACAAACATTGTCCGTCGTATAACATTTTAGAAATGTTAATTTGTCTACTTATATCTTGTTATTTTAAAAATGAAATCTAAATGGTTGGATGGATGTTTTTATTACATACTAGTTTTTGCTCGCGACTTCCCAACGTTATAGATAGAATGTTAATAGCTGCTGCTAAACTCTGGTTGCGGAATATTCACCGGAACTTTTGAAAAGGTCCTTTATCGGGTGAAAGAAACGGTGTGAGTTGATTACGGTCGCAGCATTTGACACATCGTCTCGGGATTAATCTCACGTGCTGAGATAAATACCTCTTACAGATCTTAACACGGTTGACCTTTTCTTCCTCCATATATTGACGAAACAAAGGATATCAATTATAGCTAACATTTATAGCAAAAAGGACTCTTTACATAAACGTTTTTGAGGTGATTCGTTAAACTCGTCATAGGCCTATATACTAGCCTTAAAATTAAATGAAAATTTTAACAACCGATCTAAAGACATTATGAATAAAACATTGTATATAATAATCACAAACAATATCAACGAAATCATTTTACTAAATTAAATCTTAAAATTCCAATAAAACAAAAGTAAAACTGCACTATTATTATTTCGTAAAATAAATCACTCAGTTTTTAATTATTATTTTTTAAATCACTATTCATATTTACAAAACGGCGCGAACGTGTGGATGACGTCACGCGTGATGCGTCGCCCGTACCTCGCCGCCCTCGCCTCCTTCTTGACCCCGCCGTGCCTGCGTCGTTTCCCGACTGTCCAGGGCGCCAATGTTTTGACACGGAAAACTTAGTATGCGTCTGACTTCTATTGCGTTTTGTTTGATAAAATCCAAAATCTATTTGAATGCGAATTTGTTAACTTCTTGATATAATTCGTATGTCGTTGCTCTTGTACGATAGTACTATTTGATAAATATTGCTGCCTCTTCTTTATTTGCCGATAAACACAACACACACACTAAAATTTTGGTAAAACTGATTTTTTTGAAATAAGAACGCTGTTACATTGCTTGGTTCATATCTTGAACTTGCACTATCATTCGCGCCTAAATCATGTTTTTTTTTTTAAATACAATTTTGTCTAGTGCTGTCTTGGCTGCCAGTACGTTGTTAAATATCCATCCACAATATTTTCCAACTTAACAAATATAATTTTCATGTTACTATTATTATTAATTACCTATCTTATGAAAAATGTCACTATTTAATACTAGTTATGTTTTCACTTTTAAACTAATGAAAATATATTAACAATTGTTGTCAGCGCCATCTATTATCAATGATTGCCTAACCAAGCAAATAAAAAATGTTTATATTTATACACGAGAAGAATTGAGTTCTATTAATAATTTCAAAACTAAAAACGCTTCTAAGTGAAGTAGTGAAGATTTAATAACATAATAAGATTTTCATTTTAATAACATATAAAACACGATACGAAGATCATACATTTTTTTAAGTTATAGAAAGACAAAAGCAACAATCTGTTAACTGCGAAGTCTATTTGCATTTGAATTCGTCGTATATACCCTTCTTAAGTAACCCATTAAGTTAATAGTATTAAATCTTATTTCAAAGATGTTAAAGTCGTGATTTGTTTAACTATTATTGAAGAAGAAAAGACATAAATCAAATTGACAATAGAAGCAGCTCATTCAAAGTCTGGCTGACATTTCCAAGATAACTCAATTAAAAGTAAAAAGTAAACGTAATGCAATGAATAAATCATATCATACTAATCATACTTCATACTAATATTATAAATGCGAAAGTTTAGATGGATGGATGTTTGTTAGCGTTTGTAGCCTAAACGGCAGAACGGATCTCCATGAAATTTGGCACAGATATAGAGCATAGTCTTGAAGAACTCATAGGCTTCTTTTTATCCTGGGAATAGTTACGGTTCCCGTGGGATTCATTAATTTAGTTTTTTATTGTTCAGTCGATCATTCTGTAACTTCAACATATCTTTTTGAAATTTGCCACAGATATAAAACAAAGTCTGGAGTACACATAAGATAAGGTTCATCCCCGAGAAATGTCTGGTTCCCGAAAGATACGTAGTTTTTTGTTATTTATATAGTTCGTATGTTTTCTAATACCACGCGGACGAAGTCGCGGGCAAGTTAGTGTAAAATAAAGAGAACGATTTAGCCATTACCAGTTTTAAATTACTTTAAAACCAATCTAAACGGAAAGTGCTAAAGGTCAATTTACAATAAAAGTTCGTATTTCAGTGACGATGTACGGCCGATATCATTAATTCCCTTCTTATCGCGATAATTCATTTGTCTTCAGCTCTGACCCTGACCTTAGGTAACACAATGTTAACCTTAGCGGCGGTTAATCGCGCTTTATCTTTGTTAAAATCGACCTTTTAAAGGTAAACCGATATAAAATACTTTAAAAAAGTTCTAGCGGATAAATGCAAAGAATCAATTAAATTTATACGAGCCAATAAATCCGCCAAAGGCTTGAAGTAAACGGTAAGAATAAAGTTTTTACTTTCTCAACTTAAATTCTTTTTCACGTGTTTATTACCTAACTAGTGAATTGCTTTAGCTTCTATTGGGTGGTAAAAATATACGTCTAATATAGAGATCATATTGAGAGATAATTTAGTTCTCTAATGACTAAAGAATCGCCTTGAAGATGGACCCTTAATAGGTTCAAGGTACGTGTCGTCACAGGAATATCATACATTAGTTGAGCCTTGTCTAATTCGTTAATTATTTTTTTATAATTTAGTTGAGTATTAATTTCAGAGTATTACAAACTAGCTGTTGCCCACGACTTCTTTCGCGTTGATTTAACTAAATAGTAAAAACATAGCGTATGTTACTAACTGATAAAGTAGTCTTTTAATGTTGTAAGGATTTTTGAAAGCGGCCTAGTAGTTTTTAAGTTATTTCAATACATACAAAAAAATACAAATCTTTTCTCTTTATAATATAAGTATAGATAAATATATTTTTAACGCATCTGTCCTATTGTAATTCTTAACGTACATTGTGACCGAAATCGTGTCTTAGAATTAATTAACTTATAACATAAAAGCTTCTAACTACTAAAGTTACTTGGACACTTTTCAAGAAAAGCTTCCACGTAACGAAACTTATAACAGAATGATTGTAACATTTAGTTGAAATGTATCTCGACTTTATAAAGTGTAGCATTAAATTGCGTTTGAGAAATTGTGTCAGCTTACAACGTGCTCCTCTTTCTGAACATAAATTCGGTGTAGCAAAAGACAAAATACAATGTACTAAAGCTCAAACAAAATAGAAATAAAATGTATTTTTAGAGTTTCTAGAAGTTTAGTATGTTATCATATTTTACTAATATTAGAAATGCGAAAGTTTACTAGAGTTTGTCGCCTAACCTTAAGTGTCTCGATGAAATATGATTTTAATATTTTTACATAAGTTGTTTAATTTATCCAAAGCGTGATTGTCGATGTAACTCACCATATTAAAAAGAACAACGTTGTTGGCCAAGTCCATGTAATCATCTTCAAGTGTGGACACCGGGTCGAAAACTCGACATTGATTCATCCCAACTTAGTATTCATCTGAAAAGAAAATTATTACATTTTTAGTACAAACATAAATCGGCTAAAGTTTAACAAAACTATAATGAGTGGTGTTTGTATAATTTAAATTAATTACTTCTCTTAAAAAGCAAGTGAATTTCTGGTTTGATGTCCGCAAATTTTAACTAACTTAAGTGAATTGATCCTTAAACTTTGCTTTTATGATTTAATGGGTCCTGTGTTATAGATTTACGAAAGTTTGAACGTCCGTAATTACGACGTCAAAAGTTTGAGAAATTCAGATAATCATTTTAGTATAAATAATAGAACGATAATATTTCATTAACCAAATTAAAATGAAATAAATCATTCGTAATAGAGATTTATTTAAGATGTCTATCAAAATGAATTTTTAATTAAACTATGTATATATAAAAAAGTACCATTGATAAAATCTTCTTCATTTGCTGATAAACACACACAATACTGCAAACATTGATAAAACTGAATTGTCAAAATAAAGACGCAGTTACAATATTTGCTTCACATGTTGCACTCTCCTTCGCGCCTAATTTTTTTTTTTCAATACTATTTTGTCTCTTGTTTCCTTGGCGGCCAGTACGATATTAAATACTCATTCATAATATTTTTGCAACGTAAACAATTATAATTTTTTCATTAACTTCCTTATAAAAACATGTAATATTTAATAAAAATATGCTTTAATTTTATAATAATGAAAATAAATTTACAACTGTAGTCAGCGCCATCTATTGTCAATTATTGCGTAAGCAATTATATCAATCGAATTTTGTAACGATATTCAAAATAAATGTGTAAACAATTTAAATGATGCCACGCCAAATTCCAAATTCAAAATAATGTCTGTCAGACTGTAAGCTTTTAACATTCGTTTTAGTATACATCCGTATGTTTTTTTTATATTATGTTCGAATGTAACCAAAAGTTTAACTTATATAATAGGCATTGGCGATACGCGGCCAAGTCTAATATAATATTAATCGGTACGATCGATTTCAATGAGATCGATACTGAAGGAAACCGACCTACTGACCAATAAAATTGTTTTGACGGAGATTGCAAATATTTACATTGTTATTTCAATGCCTTTTTATCTTCCTCATTACCTCATATTACCTTTGACGTTCGACCCTACTCTAAATTAAGAGTAGCTGGCTTTGGTCAACGACATAATGTTGAAACATTTAAGTACGTTTATCGGAGTTATGATATTTGTCTGAAGAACTTCAGGCAACATCTCGAAAGAATGTTCCTACTAAAGTAAAGTAAGGAATTTTGATATCACATTTTATAATAACTAATACAATGTATCCATTAAGTGCCCATGCCATGCCCATAGACATCCGCAATTGCAGATGCGTTGCCTACCCTTATCCGACAGAGGAGGAGACGCACGTAAAGAGAATGTTTCCCCTTCCTATGCATCGCCTCCACCGTCAAATCCACTTCCCATTCCCATCCTCTCCTTATAAGAAAAGGGTGGTAAAGAGAAAGGGACTTAAATTAGGCCTCCGGCACCACATTCATAAGACGAAACACGGAATTGCTTCTATTTCACGCCTGTCTTCTGTGTGGTCGTGGTATTACACCGGGCGTGCCAGCCCATTCGTGCTAAGATGTTAAAGCGGGCACTACCACTTTTTAAAAAACGAAATTGTGATAAATAAACGATTTTGTGTGATGAATTCTCATGCATACTTAAAAAGTTACATATAAAATGTTAATGCATATTTTGAAAGAATTGTAACAGTTTATAAGATCGGAAGATTGTACTCATTGTTTTTATGAAGTTCGTTTGAAACTTCTCCTGAAACAATGTGTCAAAAACAACAAACGAGTCTCTTGTTTTTATTGTGATTATTTCTCGTTATTGCTTTACCCATGAATGTTTCATAAGCCTAACGACAAACGCTTATTTTTCTTTAGCTCGCGGTTATTTCGTTATTTTGGTGCGCCATTTTGTCGCAATTTTTGTAATTTTCGCATTTGTTTCAGAATCCTACATTAATTAAAAGTTGTTTTTGTAACGCGTAATATCTTACATAATAAATTGGAAACGATACAACGAAGCCTAATAAAAATAAATTAATTGTTGTTCAAGACGGTGTTATTTTGAAGAAACACGCAATTTTATCATCGCGCTGTGATGTTCAGGAATGAAATAGAGGTAAAAACAATCGAAAATCACATTGGTACACGGCGGGATTCGATCCCAAGACCTGTAGATGACAAGTCAAGTGCTGAAACTACTGAGCCACCGACACTCAGGTAAAAACAATGGCCAGTGAGTATTTATGTAACATTTCGCGGCACAGATTATAAACTTGACTATTAAACGATTCTTCATGAGTTCACTCTTTTTATTAATATTTTTTTTAATTTCACACTGACGCAGTCGCGAGCAATGTCAAATAATTGTAAAGTATTCTCGCGGTGCAAACACAAGGAGTTGCGCTCCGCAGCTATAAAACAAACAGTCTACGTGCTTTAATAACTTTCAACGCAAATATAACGAAATGAATAAATTACGTTTTTAATTATTATTGGAACTTTTTAATATCAGATACCGTCTATAGTGCTCGCTCATATGCTTGGTTTTAATCCATGTTTTCTATATCGTTCTTTGTTCGTCATTAAATAATTATTACTATTCAAATTCATAATTTTTAAATATTTTCTAACAAACATCTCATTGTTATTCTTTTAAATATTTCTTTACTTCATATTATTCATTCCTTTACTGTTATCAAACGTTTGTATTGCTTTTGTTCTCAGAAGATATGGTTTTCTTTTCCAAATCTATTCCAATTTAAATAGAATGTAGGTTTTTAGCGTCAAATGATCTATTTATTCTTTTTCATTGTACACGAGACGATAAATTACAACTAAAATGGATGTTATCTCCGCTTCGACATATAAAGCTGTGTACACAAGATCTTAAAGTATTTTTTTATCATTTCTTCTATTACATTTTTTATATAAGAAAGGGGGCAAACGAGCGGCGAGAACAAAGATGTGGTCAACGACGCTCAGGGACATCCGCAACACCAGAGGAACTACAGATGCGTTGCCAGCTTTTGAGGAAATTGTAGGCTCACTTAGTAAAGGAAGCTAAGTCGTACTGGATTCGACGTTTTGTATAGAAAATCAATACATGCGATGGCATGCTATAAGATTTTTTTTATATTATAAGGTGGCAAACGAGCAAGCAGTCATCTGAATCACCTTAATCGATGACCCTTCCTATCCGTCTCCTCAAAACCACTTTTCCATCCCATCCTTTCCTTTTAAGAAAAGGTGGACAGAAAAAGGGACTAAAACCAGGATCCGGCATCATACTTCACACCTGTCTTTGGTGTGGTCGTGGCTTTACACCGAGCGAGCCAATCCATTCGTGCAAAGATGTTAAAGCGGGCTACACCACAGTTATGAGATGCATGTTGTTTTGCTCCAATAATTTTATGATTACATCAGTGAAATCAAAGACAGGTTTAAATGGTATTTAGCCGTTAGGTCTCAATAAATTTATCACCCTTAGGCCGCTAGAATATTCAGACCCTAGATAAGGATAGACATTAATTAATTAGTTATATTAACTAAACTAAGAAATATCTAATGATAAAGTTACGTACAGATGAATCCTTATTAGAATTATTCTAAGAGTGTGCGTACATCTTTGGCTCACAACTGTTTAGCCGCTTTCATTACTACTCGATTTTTAGTTATGCAATTAAACAGAACAGAATTGGCTGCAAAACAATCGACAATCGGCAATCCTACAACGAATTTGAGATAGTTTAGTCAAAGATGCGCCTGCTATTAAGATTCTTTTTTTAAATTACGACTGTCTTATGTTTGTAAAAAAAAAAAAAGAAGAACAATAACTATCAAATGTAAATAGTCGAGAAAGTTTGTTTATTTAATAATTCTAACCTCTGACGTCTTTGCGCCATGCGACATGATAGCACGAAGGGCACATCATGCGACATGACATGCAATTGACGTACATATATAAAATATTGTCCGGTATACTGTTTGAAACTATTAAAAAATTAATAACCATGTGATGGTAAAATTCGTGTAAAATTTAAGACAACATTTTAACGCGTATTCAGGCAATATGTCCGTATTTTAGTTACAAACTACGTTTAAAGTTTAACGACGGCCTCAATTTGATTGGACAATCACAATTCAGTAATTATTTTACAAAATTCAAAGGCTAACAATTAACATTTACAAAATACAATTAAATTCAATATACAATTTATTAAAATGATTCTTCAAAAGATAGTTAAAATTATTTTAAAGTCGATAACAGATGACGAAACAAAGGCATAAACCACAAAACTAATTTAGGAAATTTGTAATTTCAAGGAACGGTTCAGAAGTTGTTCTTAGGTTTCCTGAAGAAGGCTTAACGATAGCTTTAATTAAAAGGAACTCTCTGAAGGCTTTCTTTCATATCAAATATTTTATTGTACGACGGCAAAGAAATAAAATTAATTACATTTTACGTAAGAAAAAATTATACATTTAAAATTGTTGTTTAAATAATAGAGAAATAAACAAAAGTATGAAAATCATATATCCAAATATCAAATAATCAGAAGTTTCTTGTCAATCTTTTTATTACTAATCTACTGTCCTTGAATTTGTTTGTTTTGTAACATAATTTTACACTTACAATTTCAATGTGAACACAGCTTTATAAAAATATCTTTAACTTACTAAAATGTTTCTTGTATTACTATGGTTTCTTGTAGCTACAAAAATGCTAAAGAATTTTCACAAAGGATTTAATAAATTGAGTTTCTGTGTAGGTTTAAAGAACAATAAACGAAATAACTGTTCCTTGACCGACTTAACATTTAATATATTTGTATTGACTAAGAAATGATTGAATTTTATGTTACGCGAAGAAATGTAAATCTTTGTTATTGAATTTGACAATCGTTTTTGCTTATAAATTACTTGATTTATCGTTTTGTAGCGAATCCATTTTAATACTATAAAAAATTATCAAGAAAAAACCTCTGAAAATATGTAAAAATTTATATGATCTGCAAGTATGTACAAAGTCCCAATTAAAGGGAATCTGAATTCCCGGCGGCCTCCGGATTTCTGATCAGATTTCATCGGGTTTTTTCACTAAGGGATTACTATCTCGAATATATTCGCTCCAATATTCATAGAAAACACGTATTTTAAACGGTATATTATATGTTTCAAGTTACTCAGACATCTGCAGTAAAAAAACGATTGTGACAAAAAAGTAAACCTTAAATTTAAAGGAAAATATGAAATTGCTAACGCATAAAAATCTACATCTTTTAAGAGAAAATAATATATATTAAATTATACAAATTATAATACAATAGCAATTCTGTATTTTTGTATGAATCGTAACACGATAATTGGGACTATATTAACAGTTATTAGACGAGGAAGTGGATTTTTCCGTAAACCAACAGATTCAATCGTTCATGTGTTCATAACTCATTCTCCACTTGAAGCCACTTTATGTGTAACGACACGATTATCGTTCCGGACGTATGTCCATTCCACCGGGAAACAGCGTAAGCCATGTATAATCGACACCGTTTGCAACTATGGAATTACTCGGACATATATGAAATGCAAAGTTTACGTTTACATGATATAGTTATGTTGTTTGTTTTGACTTCAACAATAATAAATCAGTAAACAACTTTGTTCAAGTACATAGAGTTTTGATTCATAAATAATGGGCGGAATAGACCTTTGAGTATAACAGACGAGGGATACTTAGCTACTCTTAAAAATATTTTTAAAATAGAAAAGCAGAGCGAGTCACGAATAGAACGTTTAGAAGATGTTCATCATCATCAGCTCACTATATGTCCTGACCGAGGGGCTCGGAGCCTACCCTAAATAAAGAGTGACTAGGCCATAGTCAACCAAACTGGCCCAGTGCGGGTTGGTTGACTTCACACATATCTTTGAATTTCTTCGCCGATATATGCAGGTTGCATCACGATGTTTTCCTTCACCGTAAGAACGTCGGGTAAATTATGTACATAGGAAAATTTGAAAAATCGAAAATCACATTGGTATATGTCGAGTTTCGAACCCAAGACCTGTAGATTACAAGTCAAGAGCTTAAACCACTGAGTCACCGACGCTCAGAAAATATTAAGGAGTATGAATGAAGATATAAGAAAATGTATCCTTATCATATTTGTGTATTAAGTAAATTAGACACTATGGGAATATAGTTGATTTATTTGTAAATCTAATAACTGCCATACACGGCCCTGAGGTTACTCGAGCTTCACGTGATCGCTGACGACAGTACGAAAACCCGTCATAAACATAATACAGTGTTAGATCCGCAAATAACTTTGATGGTATTTTTTTCCAAATAAACTGAATATCTCTCCATTTCATCTAAGCCAAGATAAATAAATTGTGCAAACATTAAATTATAACAGTTTTATCATTTGTTTAGCATTTAAACATGTTAAATATTAACTAAGTGTCGCTCGCGACTTCGTCCGCCTATAAGTAAAAAAATAATAAACAATACAGCCTATGCTACTCACAGAAAAAAATATCTTTTTAACGGTGAAAGAATTTTTAAGATCGGCCTAGTAGTTTTTTTTTATTTATTTCAATACATACAAAAATACAAATCTTTCCTCTTTGTAATATTAGTATGGATGTGATTTGCTAATATCTGAATATTTAGTGTAATGTGTCACTGCCTTTATTTAAATACGTAGTAGGGGCTTGATAATATTTAATTTGTTACTGTATACTTTAACCGCTATATAGTTAAAAGAAATTGAATTATTTCAACCCTTTTACTAACTCGCCCTTAAGCCAACATTATAACCTCATTAAACATGAGATATGCAAATTAACGTCGACCTTCACCTACATGTCGATACAAAATTGAACTGACCCTTAATAAGTGGACATTCAACGCAATCATAGACGAGAAGATAATGCGTTATTGCTAACTGATTTTTCACCTCAAGATCCTTATGCTTAAAGTGAACTCAAGTTCCTTGCTTTCATTCAGGTTCTAATAAAAACGTCGAGGTACTTACATTTTATTTTTAGTCCGAAATAAAACCAAGACACTTTAAGGATACTATAACTAAATGTTTCCGTACGGCTTCATCCGCATGAAATTATGAAAATTTTATTTCATTGTTTACATTTGTTAAATTATCAATACCAAATGACAAAATGACATGACATGACAAACCTTGGCAGTCTTGCTTTCTTTATGTGGGCAGCAACTTGTGGTCTGTTTCCCGCATTAGGGTTTTTATCCAAAACATTTACTCCCTAAGTTTAATAGCGTGAAAATATGTAGCCTAAAGCGTAACGTAATTGTAGGGCTTTTCATTAAAAAGAGAATTATTAAAAAATATGCTGTAATTGCTGACATCTTAGGCAACAAAGAAGTGTGTGTTTACGCTTTATTATAATAGCATAGAAGTACTCGTATATATTAAAACTACTTTTTTAGCAAAGCGCTTAAAAAGTGAAAGTTATGAAACGTACACGACAAAAATATTGATCGCATGGCTTTGGAAGTTCATTGTTTCATTTGAAACAATTTTTCCACGAAATCAACGTGCTCACTTCTCTACATAAAATTTTATTGATCAAATATAATATTATCAAATGTTAGCAAAATTGATTCTGAAATAAAACAACATATATTTTAAATAAAAGTTTGTAAACATTATTCTAATAGAAACAAAAATGGGCGGAATTAGATAAACTTTGTATTTACTGAATTTGTTATAAATGTAATTGATTGGAAAAATAATACTAAATAAATGTCGGAATTACTCAATTATCAATGTATCAAATAGCGTCGGAAGACTGAATACAAGACCTAATATTTGTACCAATTTACAGAATTTCTTTTACATACGGTACACGTGTACATAAGTTCATCGAAGGAAAAACATCTAGTTAATATTATTTACAAATTTTCTAAGAAATAGAGAAGGGGTACAGATACAAAATATGTCAAGTGAACAATTTTCCATAAAACTTATCTTGAAAAAAATACTTTTTTGATTTTCTAAATAAAATATGGTTATATTAAATAAAAAATTGAACCTCTCTACCTTTCGAACATGTTCAATCCTCTACGTCACATATTATCCGCGGCTTATGTATTAATTAATAACCAAAATCACGCACAAACAAAAGCTATCGTAGCACTTTTTGTTATATTAGCAGTGGTAGGCGCGAATAGGTCGGGCCCCGCGGTAGTTTTAACTGAAAAGTCGCCGTCGAGCGCGGCTTGCGTGTTTAGTTCCAGACACCCACCGACCGCCGAGGCAGTGGTACTAAACATTTTTTTCATATTTGATAATCAATTATCGTTGACATCTGCGTGTTGGCCTTTTAAATTAATTTCCCTGTTGGGTGCTAAACAAAATTAGAATTGAAATAATTTAAGGAAGCGTCTTGTTGGCATGAAAAATTACAATCTTATTTGTTACATTTATCGCCGTTGCTAAGGTGCAGGAATATTTATTCTTGTTGAATTAATTTTTGGTAAATGCTATTAATGATGATTGATGTAAAAAAGGCGCTTTACCTTATTTCTTTTAACGTTTAGAAAAATAGCAAGAAGATGTTAAATCAAAGAGTTAATAAATAAAAATGTATTTGGTCGTTATACTTGTCACCCGACAGAATTCCGAGGATAAAATTTAACGTAAACCCGAACGACTGAATGGATTTTGATGCGTAAGATGTAAATCGGTTTTCATTCTTTTAATCTCATAGTGATAATTACTCCAGGTTTTAATGTTTTAATTAACAAATAGTAACTCAAAAGAGTACTTCGTAGCAATGACCAGACGCCGTCTGGCCTGATATTTCTTTCCTAGCACCTCCTAAACATCTTTGACAGAGCGCACAGATTAAATTTATAATACAGGCTTTGATTTATCACTAGTCAAATTAATTAGAGTTTAAAATTAGAATAATTCTCTATACTAATTTATCTGGCAATAAGAATGTAATTTATTATCTTAATAGAACATTCATTTTCTGAACGAATTACACTCCAGTTACTCCGAAATTCAACTTGGGTACAATTTTTCGGTTCGAAAGTTTCGAGTTAAAGTATAAGAAAGTTTATGATTTATAATTTTATAGACTTATATAGAGTTGGGATTTCTCAAGGAAACTTTTTAAACGTTTGGCAATTAAGGTTTTTAACAAGAAAATTTAATTTAAAGTAACTTCTTAAATATTATTTGGATGATTTTCACAAACATCTGAAACAGTGATATCTAAATTGATATAAATTTGTATATAAAAATATTTACAATTCCTATAATTGTCAAAAGTCATGTAACAGTCCCCAAAAGTTAAGGACATCGCTTACTGATGTAATAGAAAAAATGTTTACAACCCCATTTCTAACCAAGCGGTGACTGTTAGTAATATGACATTTGAGTGCGGCGTTCGCTACGTAAGCGGTACGTTCACGTGGCGACTCCGGCGACGTGACGACGTGGCGACATTGACCACAGACCTTGTCTGATTGGTATCGGTCCACCTTATTTGGGGTAAGCATTTAGAAATTTATTCCATACCCCTGCAATGTGTTTAGCAGCGGTATTCTAAGATTATGATCGCAATGCAAATGTTTGTCGAGTCATTGTAGTATTCATCCTAATTGTTTTATTTTTATATGGAAAGTGACCTTGTGCGCTTTGTTTGTTGCTTCTTAATGAATTTAACTTAATGCCGCAATTAGGGCTTGATAATTAATCATTAAGGGATCCTTCTATACCTAAACAATGTACCTACGTATGTTAGGATTACCGTACACATCGCCTAGGTTTTTTAATAGCACACAATATTGTAAAAGAAGTAAATCTTTAATCTTTAATGTTTATCACGACGTTACGTAGCGTGCGGAACGAGGAAAAGTCGAGCGGCGTGACTAGAGCACGCGTGTCCCCAATGATAATAAACTTAATTTATCGTTAGCTTCTTATGAACAAAATGGATAAATCCAGCGGAAATAACTTCAACCTACTTAAGCCTACCTTTGGTACAAAGATTAATGGCTAGTTTTAACTTATATTCTTCAATCGCGTGGTTAAATACTTAGTAACTTATTTAATGAGTAAAAAGTACGATAAATCAGTATTTAAATGCAATCTAGATAGACTGTTAGATTTTGCACACGTATTCGACTTCGTGGAATTATAAAAACAAAAGAAAGTAGCATATGTGTTTTTCCAGACTTTACGGAGGTCTGCTGTTATAAGTAATCAAATATCCATCCATCTAAACTTTCGCATTTATAATGTAAGATAGCCATATTCAAGGTTGCAGGTATGAAATTAAAAGAATTTTCATGTTTGATGTCAATTAACATTTTATTACAGTTCATTCCAGTGTAAACATTATGCTGTTCGCTAAAGATTATAAAAGATAATACATTCTAAGGCAGAATATGTTATACAATTTGTAAATGCTGGCAGTATGTCATAAAACTGAAAATGGAAAACACGACAACGAGGCATTTACCTTTAGTTGTTGGAATTACGAGCCATTCAGTAAAACCTGAAATATTATTGTTTATTTGTACAACAATAGTCTGAAATAGAGATAAATAACATTTTAAGTATGATGATTATAAGATTCATTGGATGACTCTTTAAATAATTTAAAGTCTACTATCAGACAGTTTCGATTTGATTTTAAAATTTACTATTTGCATTAGATAGCTCGATTATTTTAGTTTATACATAAAGCATTATTCTTTGGATTCTTTGGATAGCATTAAGCTTATATCAATTGGAGAATCGGATTATCGTTTAAATGACGCAGTGAACGTAATAAAAACGTACTCGAATTTTGATATTTGACTAATACATTAATATCGCTTAAAAGCATAAATAGACTAAGACGCTGTCCTTGCATGATTTCTTTGTTAAATACAAGGATGTTGCGTAAAGTGGAACAGATGTAAGTCAATTTGTTACGACGTTCAACAGACATAAGACTTCTTGTGGAAATATTTACAAGTTGATTCATTGTGAAGATTACTTGTTTACTTATTTTGTTAGCGAGATCTTATTCCATTAGCGTTTAGCGTCGATTAGCTTGGTCTTAGATTATAATTTGATTTTTCCGTATCTTGTTTTTATTACGTAAGTGAAAGCTTTTTTTTAATACAAATCAAAAAAGCTACAGGAACTATTTAATTACTTTTTTTATTATTTACAAACCAAGGTCAATACCATAAGGTTATAGTACATTGAAAGTAATAGACAGGTCAAATTAAAATTTACATTGAATTATAAGTGATTAAAATTAGCAACAAATTTTTATCAAAACTTTCCTTTTTTGACTACATAAAGGTTAATTAAATTAGTCCAGACAGTCTTTTATCCATCTGGGTACGTTGGAAACTTTATCAGTCTTCTAAAACAGAACAATTGAGACCGTTTCAAAATGTTTTTTTTTATGTCAAAATAAATAATTGTAATCTAAAAGAGAACAACGTCTCAAAGCTGACAATTAAAAAGGACCAATATTGTGTTATAAGTAAGAACTATCGGTGCATAAAACTTCAATGATTGCATGCAATAGTACTGTTTAAACTTTGTAATTGCATTTTTCCATTGTATATATTACCTAAACTCATTAGTTAACGTTTCTTTCTTAACGAAAATCTTTATGTAGTGTAGATACAGTAACCTTTCTTAATGATAATTACTCATGAGAGTAAAACATCATTCTGTCATTGTTCCATTCTATTTGTTCTGAAGTCTATGTCATAATGACTGCTGCGGCCAACCTTGGTGCTGATCGATCGCAAGCACATCTTCACCCCATGCTAACCTTGCTTACATAATGTTGGACATCGATTCATATTCGTTACTGTTTCCACTGTTGAACACCTGTACAAATAACTATTGTTGTCTCTATTCCTTCAAAGAGAAAGAAAGGGATGACAGTAGTTTTGAACATGCGGAAGTGGTAGTTCATGATTGCTTATCTAACCTTCTAGCAATGCAGTCTTTGTAAAAAAGATTGGGACACGATTTGATTGTACATATTCATATGCTTTTATAACAGGTGACTAATTTCTACATAACATATTCTATTTACACATTACATTATAATCTATTCCAGAATTCCTATAACAGCTCAAGTTGTATTCACAACCACATGTATAAGCCCTCTTGATGAGCGTATTCATTGCCGATTTTAGCGCTGCCAGTGCCATGGGCTAGATTGCTTCAGAGCCTCCTTTTTATAATGCCTTGGTTAACAAGATTACCTGACACTATAATTCGTTGACCTGTGGCATCTCTACCATCGCCCTGGGTCGCTCTAACTCTCGTACTGACCGTATATTCGCAGACAATATATCTACATACATATATACAATTTAATATGTGACTTCTGCCTCTGTCATTCGTGTCCTTCATAACCTGGTTGATAGAATCACAACTAACTTTATGTCCTTGACAATAGTTCAATGAAGAACATGACAATGCAGCGTATAGCGTTCCGTCCCTGAACTTGTGTTAGTTTTGTTCGCTGCATTTCGTTATTAGGAATCGTCAAGTCGACGGGAAGCGCTAGATTGCTCGCCGCCGTTATTCAAAAGGTGATTCTTGCGTCAAGGCACGTCGTTAATCATACGCTGTGCATAGATACATACGAATGTAAAGACTATTCACATGGTTGTGTTATTGCTTCCTTTGCTCTATCGGTGCGTAAAATATCGGTCTTCACTGTAATATCTCGGCCCCTCTTATTGTGTTATAAAGCAGAGATACCATTTATGGTAGAAAATTAAATTAAGTGTTGCGTAGTTTTGTACCGTATTTAAAATCTTTTTTTATTAAATTTGTAATTTATCGCAATATTCTTTATTATACCTGTTAGATTTTAATTATTCGGGTGGCGAAATAATTAAGCTGGCCTGTAATTAAGTTTTTCCTTTAAAGTTTTCGTAATTAAGAAGCCCGAGGGAAAGTCTAAATAAACAAAATCATACATGAATCGTTTCACTGAAGGTTAACTTTTAAACTAAGCCTTGTAAAATAAACATTAAAGATTTGATAAATATTTTAAGCTGTGTGCATTAATCAAAAAATTGAGAATTAAAATCAAATTTGTTTGTAACAACTTTATTTCCAAAACTTTTAAAACTCTTATAAAGGGCGTCATTGCACGAGTTAGCAACCTTCAGGTCATTACACTCTTGTTCACTTTGTGCTACTGAGACCCTACATCTATTATGTACGTTAATCTATTTACTTGTGTAAACTAACGAACAAACGCGCCCGGTGGGCGTAATTGAAACTGATTTACAATAGCGCATTAGCGCTACACTGTTAATGTCATAAAGCGTTTCAAGATCCTTGTTGAATATCCTTATGGAAGTTTTTCAAACTATAATCACAAACTGATACGCTATTTTACAATTCAGTTATAACATTGTATATTTATTATGTAACGTCACATCTGCGCGGTTAATCTTTGACCCTCGTAGAGTTGCCAGCACACTAGCGCCACTAATAAGGATATGTCGTCGCAGCGCTGACGATGTTATTAACTGGCAATTACAGGAGCGGTTAATTGGTCAGTCTACGTAATACACGGAACAGAGGGGATGGTAATAGCTCTTTTGTTGTTCGATTTCTTTGTAAGTTAAAAGCGTTTTATTGCGTAATTCTTATAAGAGCGGTGGGCCTAATGGACCTCTCAACATACGTAGCAAACAATGTTTTTGTTAGACGAATTTTCTCGAGTTCGTAAAAAACATGAAACATGACTCCATTAATGTCTTTTGAGCCTTTGTCCTGACTCAACTTTTCCGTTTCTAAATGCTTGATAAAATAAATACAACAAGATAATAATAAAACTGCGAGATAGATTTGCGTTTTTATTCTTTCACAGTCAAATGACATTGCTTGAATATTAAATAAATATTTATTCACACGATAAAAGAAGAGATTCTTTTAGCGGTCATTATGCGAATGAATTATTCCTTGCCATCGTTTGTGATATCTTTTTATAATTTCAAGAAATTAAATCCAAATCAACAGTATTAAATTAAAGAATTTATATACAGAAATAATACTAATAAACCTTAATACAATGTGGTCCTTAAATTGTGGTTTTTCTTTGACTAAAATATTTTGGAATTCTTAAAATACATTGTTGTGTAGACACTAAATGTAACCTTCACAATACCTTTAAGCCTGTTTATTTTATTACAGTGTAACGTAGCCAGTAATTTAATTAACACGGTGTAGTAGCGAAAGAGCTCGGGAAACCTTTCAGTTTATTCTACCTTGCCAGTCAGTGTACTGCTTTATAATGGTGGAAGGTAAGAAATTGTTAGAAAATTGTGTGAACAGTGTATTAATTACGCTCATGATGTAATTTACTTAATAATGTCGTTTAGTATAAGAAGTAAAACATTAAACTAAAAATGGAATAATAAAATAAATTAAGTACTCTGTCAGTTATTACTTGCACATCATTAGAATATCTAAATTGATATTTGTGTTTTTTTTAAAGTTGTACATTTTTCCAATAGCATATAAATGACTTAAGTAATAAGAACTCTTTATAATTTAAACCGTAAAGAACATTTTGTGGTTAATGTAATTTAAATTTGAATAAATATGCTCAATTCGCTATGTGATATTACTTTTGTGACTCTTTCTTTTTGTAAAAGATTAACTTTTGTCAATCAAAATCATTACACAATGTCATTTGATTTGGGTAATGTTTTAAACCAGTAACGCACTATCAGTTTTCAGTTACAATGAATAATCGAACTACACATTTAATACTGACGTGTGTTGGCTATCTAAGAACTGTCAATTAAAATTTTGCCCACAAACAGTCGAATTGTTTACTTAAACGGTCTATTGGAACTGAACGTCCGTAGCGGGCATTAAATGTAATCGAAGATTGTTCATTATAAATGAAAGAACAAAAATTTTAACTTTTTTAAATTATTTTTTAATTAATGACATGATCGTTTATTTTCAGTTGTAGATCCCGGTGTTGTGAAGTCTGGAGCTTACAAGTATGAAGATGGCACCCGATATGTAGGCGATTGGAACTCGAAAGGCCAGAAGCATGGAATGGGTCACCTATTACTCCCAGACGGGACGAGGTTCGATGGCTGCCTGGCTGGTGGCATGTGCTCCGGACTCGGCGTCATGGTATTTCCAGACGGTGCTAAGTAAGTACGAAGTTCATCTTACTAATATTATTAGTGCGAAAGTTAGTCTAAACGGCTGAACGGATCTCGATGAAATTTGGCTTAGACGTAGATGATAGTCTAGAAGCACACATAGGCTCGAGTTTATTTTTTTTTTCACGCGGCGGAGTCGCGGGAGAAAGCTAGTCATGTGATAATTGTTTCTAAAATTCAGGGTGATGTATAAGCCATTCTGCGTTTCGAAGGATCAGTGAGAGTTTAGGAGACGTAATTATAGTCCTCTTTCCATTCACAACATATTCTTTAAAGGTATGGATGGAAAGGGATTTGTCCTCATATCAGAGTGCGCGACCCTGCCTCCGTCGATTTTGCATAGACAAGGCGTCTGCAATTGCTTATTCGGAGCTGTTGCTTCACTATTGCGGCGATTACGAGTATCTCATATGCTCATAATGTTAAAAGTTGAAACTCACCCAATTTAACTAAAAGCAAAAATGCAATTCGAATTTCTTTTCAAAATCTCATCAAAATCGATTCTGTAAAGGTTACAAGAAATTAATGAATTTGATATAAACCCACAAACATCAAATAACTCTCGAAAATTATTATCCTCTTCTTTGTTAAATAAAATGATAGTCAATATCCTATAGGAAATGGCTTTTTAATAAGATATTTTCTGCCTAGTTCAAATTTTACAATTTAATTTGTAACAAAGGTGAAGTCAGTTTCCGTTACACAGAACACCTTGTATTAAATCAGTAAAATATTTTTTCTTCCCTTTGAACCATTTCTTTTTTGAACAAGGAAAAATACTTTCAAACTCGAATTTTGTGCTTCAAATAACATAAATGAAATGTGTATAATCTTTTTGCCTGAAGGAAAAAAGATACATTTCAGAAAGTACTTAATATGGGTCACACTTTGACAATTTCGACGATTTATTTATCAGTACGGCAAAATAATTAGATGAAAGCTTATATTTCTGTTGTTTTTAAAATCGTAGTGGATTTAACATATTAACAACTTTAGATACGAAGGCGAGTTTATGCAGGGCTGGTTCCACGGTCACGGAGTTTTCTGGCGAGCGGATGGAATGAAGTTCGAAGGAGAGTTCCGAGGTGGACGTGTTTGGGGTTTGGGTGAGTATAACGATCTTTATGACAAGTGGAAATAAGAACAAGGCTAATTTTCTTCATATTTTCTTAGGGTAATATTTACGGATATAAGTGTATGTTAAGTAGTCATTTTCTGTTTTCTGTATGTTTCAATATTGTTGAATAAAATGATTACAAATATAATTTTATTGGCAATATTCACTTCATTGAAACTGAAGAGAGAAATACTTTTTCTTAAGAAATGGCGCCTATGGGTTGCGGTCGTTTCCTTATTTAGCCGAATTCAGATGGCTGCTTGCTCGTTTGCCGTCTTATTATATTAAATGTAACTTAATACACGTGGAATGATTTACGAGTAAATAAATTATTTTAAGAATATAGGTATTTTAAAAAAACAATAGCGGGATTTTTATACGGAAGATTGATTAGATGGAATATAAACAAAAGTTTAAATTAGTTTTGTTTGAATTACTTCTGGGAAATTCCGTAATATTCAGCATTTTTCTTGATCCTTCCTCGAATTGAAGAAATAAAACACTTGAGATTAAAATAAAAATATTGCAGATCTTCCCTAAACTCATAACTGAATAAAAATGTTTGTTTCTTAACAAATTTAACATATACTTCTCGTTTATTATGCTTGGTCCTGACATTGCCCCAGACCGAATGGCAGAAGCAATTTAACCTGCTAAGAACTCTACTAAAGTTAAAATCTTATAATAATAATGATATTAATTTATTTATTGTCTCTTTTGCATTTCTTACCCAATACTTCATTATAATACTTATAATGTCTACACGAAGAAAACAAAGAAAAACATTACAATTAATCTTATTAAAGTCGTATTGTATTTATGAATTCCGGTGGCCACGATACAGGCATTGCCTAGTGTAGCCACCACCAGATTAACTAGAATAACTTAAGATAACAACTTTTTAAAAATTATGTGTTATGTATAATTTTAAGTTATTGTCATTTATTTGTTTTTGTACAATCTTTTTGGTTTAATAAATATTTTTTCATTTTCATTTATAAAAGAAAACAATCGTCTAATTTATCGAATTATTTTCTTTAATGTATTTAAATGTTGACGTTATCAATTTCTAGGCTTGGTAACCTTCAGTGATGGAAGCAATGGATTTCCAAGAAATGAAGGCTTCTTCCAGGACTGCAAAATGGTGCGGCGCAAACGTTGTCCCGAAGTAGTGCAGAGGGCGCAAAAGGTGGCTTACATGGCGCGGGCGCAATGCCAACAAGTGTAACAAGGACTGTTACACTTTTTGAAATAGCGTGTAAAAATATCAACATTTTACACTTCTAGTGCATGTAACATGTCTAGTTTTAGTTAGACTTTAGACAATGCGTGTAACGATTATTTTTACAATTATTTATTTGAAATGGACTTATATTACTGCCCATACTGTTTGTATTAATATGTTTTCACTTATCTCTTAAGCCCGCTAAATACGTTCTATCTGAACACTTCAGTTACAGACAATTGTCTGTATTAGACTTTGGTATAATCTTATTTCGAATTATTTAATCGACTTTCAAAACACTGATATGGAAAATATAGTACTATAGTATTTTTAGTTGAAATTCATATGAAAACGGGTCTTCAATAAACATACCATTTTGTTAATTAATATTCGTTGATATATCGTAAATTATTTTGATATACTGAAATAAATTCACGTGTACTTAATGAGCCTATTCATTGAATATGAGTTATGAAACAGAATTCAATACATTTAGGCTGAATGAATCGTGATGGCTAATTTGTTTTATTGAAGAACTCATTACAATAATTTGTTATTTTGTTATTATTGATACGAATATACAAAAGGCCTTTGATCTTATGTATTATAATTCTAAGAAACGCTGTATTTCAAATTGTCTTTTGTTAGTTTTGAAAATGCTAAAGACATATAAAATATACTTTCTTTGAGAAAATAAATAATTAAATATTTGACTATTCATTTCAAATACGTTTAAAAGAAAAGTAAACCTTTGCCTTACTCAGCAACGCGCTTGCTAATATTTCTGGAATGCTCGTTTATAACATTATTGAAAATACTATTTATTTTCTAATTGGAAATTCCTTTGGACAGTTATTAATTATTAATTTTGATAGAGTTATAATGCCACTCATTTAAGGATTTTTTTGTTGACCATACTATCGCGTTAATGCGGATATACGTTTTTGATGTCGTTACCGGCAAATGCATTTGCGGTATGATAATGACCACAACTTACTTTCAAACCTTTGATATGTGGAAAGTTATTTTGCCGTTGAGATCGTAAATAATTAACATGCATACCACATATATCTTAATATAGTTTATTAATTAATTACATTATAATGACATTTATTTTCTATTTCTTTAAATAAATTACATTTTTACTTATGAAAACAATTAAAAACTAATTCAACTTCTTACGTAGCGTGGTATCTTCATCGTCCAAGCATTGACCGTACCTCACCTCCATACATTTACTTCCCTGTAAAAGAAATAAGAATTAGTTGATTTTAAATAGTAAATTTTTTTTTTATAACATAAGGTGGCAAACGAGCAAGCAGCCAACTGAATCCACCGAAATGGAAAGCGACCGCTACCCACATACATCGGCAATTGCAGATGACTTGCCTACCCTTAAATGACGGAGGAGAAGACGCACATAAAGAGGACATTAGTTATAATAATTATCCATACTATTAAAATAAAGCGTAAGCACACACTTCTATGTTGCCTAAGATGTTAGCAATTACAGCCTATTTTTGAATAATTCTTTTTTTAATAATAATATGTTCACGCACGTCACGCTTTAGGTTACATATTTTCACGCTATTTAACTTAGGGAGTGAATATTTTCGATAATAACTCTAATGTGGGAAAGAGAGCATAAGTTGCTGTCAACATCAAGGAAGCTAGATTGCCAAGTTTTGTCATGTCATGTCATTTCGACATTTGCAATTGACAATTTGACACATGTAAACAATAAAATAATTCTATGCTGATGAAATCGCATGGAAACAGCTAGTTATAAAATAGAAACCACCGTTAACTAATCTACCTAATATTCTATATATTACAATATTAAATTCCCTTTCTTTAACATCAAATTACTAAACCTAATGAAACGCAGACCGAAGTATATTTGCCTAATTGATAAGATAAATTGCAAACACTTTTATTAATTAATTCTGTAAAAGATAATTATAAATTCTCTACTCTTTGCCATTTGTATTCTTCTGGGAACATTCGGGCTTTGCATAGTTGGAAATTATTTATAAATCGAGTACTTGCATTTGGTACAAGCATTGACTTTTAGGGGCTCCCAATGGACGAACACCCACTAATACTGGCAAACTTTAATTTGGTATACCTAATAGTAAATTTATCATAGCTGTTCCCGTGCGACTTTATCCTCATAAAAGTATGAAAATTTTATTTTATTGTTTACATGTATCAAATTATGAATTGCAAATGTCAAAATGACATGACGATGACAAACTATGGCAACCTTGCTTCCTTGATGTTGGCAGCAACTTATGGTCTTTTTCCCACATTAGGGTTTTTTTCCAAAATATTTACCCCCTAAGTTTAATGGCGTGAAAATATATAGCATAAAGCATGACGTGTGTGTAGGGCTTTTTATTAAAAAAATAATTATTCAAAAATATCCTGTTATTGCTTATATCTTAGGCAACAAAGAAGTGTGTGTTTACACTTTATTATAATGGTATAGATAGAAAATGTTAGTGCTTCCCAAAGTGATCTAGACACATCTGAATCTTAAAATTAAAAAGGTTTGTTTGAGGGAAATAATATCGTGGGTTCAATAAATGAACTAGAAATACATTTGATTAGAAAAACTAATATTTATTTATAAGAACTCTTCAAAAAACTTTCAAACTGATTGAAACTGTTAAACGTTTTTTTTTTTAAACAAACACGAGTCACATTTAAATGTAAAAAATACAGACATGAGAACTTTTTGGCAGTCGGTTAAAAAAGCTTTAAGATATTTATTTGGACAATGTCCATATAAGTGCAATCATTGTATACGAAAGCAGAAGTAACTGGTGACGTAAGGCTCGTTACAGAGTTACATAGTGCGCTTTCTCTCGGAACTTGCGCTTGCATAAGACCCGCGTAACCTATACTTATATTCAGTACAGCGCTTTTCTCATTACCGATACTCGGTTTACGTTTTGCGTAACTTGATTGCTATCTATAAAACAATTTTGATGTACTTATGCAAATTCCTCGAACGCTAAGGTATATTTTATTACATTTGTAATTGCTATTTTAATTTTCAAGTATAATAATTACTGCCCGGACTGTCTTTAACTGTCTCTCTTTATAGCTAACGATTCTATTGTTTTGAGATTTAAAGACAATCGTTATAATATTGAAATTATTTTAATATAGAGATTTATTTTTCATTTATTTGTAATCATTTCACGCGGATTTTTCGAAATAAGTATTTACTGTAATGATGCACTAATTTCCTCTGAATTCTTCATTTAATTTTCAGTTCGTTTCAATAATGTTTCAAAAAACAATACCAAAATATTCTGGCAAAATTAATTAGCATTTCCCAATAGAAATATTTCGAAGAAAATATGTAAAATGATATACCTGTCATACTCAGTACGTGGAATTTTTTGCTGTTTTGGTAAATTTTGTTTATTGATTGAAATAAATTTTATTTAACTGATAAGCAATGAGGAAATTGAATATGTTTGGTTTAAACATTTATGTTATACTTACAGTTTAATTTGTATTATCGCATACTTATATTTTTGTAGTAAACTAGCTTTTTTGCGACTTCTAAGCAACTCTTACATCTAAGCAAAATTTTATCGAAATCCTATTAAGCTCTTTTAGAGAAACGACTATGTTGATAATAAATATCCATCCATCCAAGTATCACGTTAATGTCATTGTTACACATTTTCATACTTAAGATATAGGGAATAGATAAATTATAACAAGACTACCTGAAAACTATATTTATTACTAGAACAACTAATTAGTTTTGTTTATAAATCCCTCTAATATTTATAAATCCGATTTGCGTGTATGTATGTTAGCTTCAGAGACTCAATATGCTTGAATCAAAAGTAGATCGCAGTCTTCAATAGCTTTAAGTTGATGCTAGTTTATATTAACAATAACATTTGGTATATGAAATTAAATAGTTTTGTGGTTACCTTAGCGATGTATGCTTTCATGTAGAAGTTTCCGAACAGCACGATAAACGAGATCATGTAGATAATAAGCACATAATGCATCCAAAGCGGGAACTCGCAGCCAGTACGGATGCCGTTTACTCCAAGGACGAGGGCACAAGTGAACTGAATCTGTACAAACAGGAATATATTAAGTTTTGAATGTATTAGTCAAAATTATAGACAATCCTGATATTTCGACGCAGAGAACTAAGGCAGATCGTGAATATGACGCATGCAACTGTGCTGAAATATCGAGAGCTTAAACTCAATCGCGGCAAGAAACTTGTTTCTCACGAACATTATATTTGTAAAAACCACTAATTTAAAGTTATATAGAGTTTTAACTATTTGAAACTCGCTGATTGTTATTGTACGTCAACGTGGTTACATGTTTCACCAAAACACTGTATCACTTTTTTATTTATTATTTAAAATTGCATTTCACAAACCGTGCGCTAGACTTACGTTATTAAAGAGTTCATGTATCTTTCAAAAAGTAAATGAAAATAAGCTTGAAACTGAAGTGGTTGTTTTTAAAATTCCGATTTAAAGGAAAAAAAATAATATTCGTTACATTATCTCGAAGATTTTAAATTATCAAATCAACATCGTATAACATTACATAGACTTCTTAGTTAACCAAACGTCATGAACAAAAACTTTAGCATCCAGAGAGTTATCAAGATTTGTTTGTAGAATTAATTATAAATCTGAGAAATGAATTAAATGCGGAGCGCTTTGAAACTACTCCGACATGGGTCTGTTTTCGAATTCAGTGAACCACTGATGTTACGCTTTCAATCATTATTTTTAAATCTAATTCAGTGAATAGGTATGTCATATGAAAAGAGAACTCTAAGGAAATCTTTTACTAACACTTCATGAGTTTCATTTCCTATCATAAAATCCGCCTTTTGAACGACTTTACTAGAAATAGAACACAATAAATTGAATCGTAAAAGTCTCAAAGATTTGTGTAGCGGAATTTTATTTTCCATTTTGCAATCGTTTTAATCCACTTAAATAATTGCAAAGATGTCTTAATAGACTTCTAAGAGCTCCCGCAGACTGACTTTTTTATCGGTCGATAAATTGATCGGATTTGACTGGCAAATCAAAATCACACAATAATTGGTACACATTCAAACATGTTCATCAATAATCTTCAATTTAAGTCCCTTTGTCTTTACCACGCTTTTCTTATAAGGAGAGGATGGAAAGGGGAAGTGGATTTGACGGTGGAGGAGATGCATAGGAAGGGGCAATATCCTCTTTATGTGCGTCTCCTCCTCCGTCGGATAAGGGTAGGCAACGCATATGCGATCGCGGATGTCTATGGGCAGCGGTCGCTTCGCCATTTTGGCGGATTCAGGTGGCCGCTTGCTCGTTTGCTACCTTATGTTATAAAAAAAAAGTCTATAGTCTATTTATGTATATACAGGGGATCTTAAATTGAAGATAAAGATTTTTTCTCTCAATCCAAAGTTCCTTTCGATATGCAAATAATAAACATCCAAAAACCTTACTGGCATACATTAATAACCGTTCAAAGCATATTATTTAATTTTTAACGACTTCTTTTTATGAATTTAATCAATAATTTACCGAAGTATTATGTAAATGTAAAAAAGAGATAACAACCGTTTCAAGGTCAAAAGAATCTTGAAGTCTTAAATTGTGATGACGTACAAAACAACTGAGTTATTAAAAAAGCTAAACTTTTAGTTTCACATACCAGCTGTAAAATAGTGAGGTATTTCTTCCACCATAGGTATTTGCTGACGGAAGGTCCGAATACTGAAAGGCCGTAGTAAGTATACATCAGTACGTGGATGCCGCTGTTTACCATCGCGGGGAGGAATGCTGAAAGAAATGCGAATAAAAAATATTTGTGAAAATTATGAATCGCAGAATTATTGTCCCGATATTTTTGATCAAAGTAATTCTGTAGCAATACGATTTAGTTTGACTTTGGAAAAAAAATGTTATAAATAGTTATTTTACACTAGCGTACGCTAGCGATTCCGTCTGCGTGAAATAAAAAAAAACAAATAATCCTCTAACTCTATACCAAATTTCATCAAAATCCGTTCAACCGTCTAGGCTACAAACTCTAACAAACATCCATTCATCGATCCAAACTTTCGCATTTATAATATTAGTAAGCAGGTTAAATTTAACTTACTAACAGCTGAATACTCAAAAGATTCTTCCACACATCGCTTCGTTAGCACTGCTTATTATCTGATAGGTGCCGAAGTTTTAATGGAATTTTGAGATTTAAGTGTGGTCTTATCTTTTCAGACGCTGTTACATAAATATTGTCTCAGTATTGGCAGTAAGACATATAAGTATATTACTATTAGAATCTTAGATAATATTTAAGTACAGTTCAATTCAGAAGCCAGTAAAGCTCTAAATTAATTACGGTAGATATTCTCAGCTTTGCTCAGTTCCGTAGCACCCATTTTACTGGCTTTAATATTCCCGCATTCTATTTCTATTCTAAATAAAAATCTTCATATTTAATTTAATGATGTAATATAAATTTGTAGAATTACTAAAGTAGTTACGTTAAAACTTTATTTAATTACAAGCTGTTCCCGTGCGACTTCATCCGCATAAAATTATGAAAATTTTATTTTATTGTTTACATTTGTCAATTTATCAATTGCAAATGTCAAAATAACATGACATGATGACAAACCATGGAAATGTTACTTCCTTGATGTTGGCAGCTTGTAGCTTATGATCTTATTCCCACATTGGGGTTTTTATCCATTTTATTTATCCTCTAAGTTATATAGAAAATATATAGCCTTAAGCGTGCCGTAAGTGTAGGGCTTTTTATTAAAGATATGACTATTAAAATTTGGTGTGATTGCCGACATCTTACTTACAAGTAGTATGTGTTTACGCTTTATGATATTAGTGAAGAAATATTGACATAGATATGACTTACTTGACCCACTTGGTACCCATTTAATGCCAATCCACCAAAAACTGAACATTGTAGAGTGGTGATAAACATGAAGGAACGTTAGCTGTTCATCCTTCTTTCTTAAAATAAAGAAGAACGTGTCACAGAATTCTAGAAGCTTCGAGAAGTAGTACCACCAAACTGCGTCTGCTATCTAAAAATAACAAGGTACAGGAAGTGTAAATGACAATTACAAAGACAGGTTAGTGAACGCCGAAAAAAGATAATCTCTTGAAGGGCTCAATAGACTATTGTTTCGAGTTCTTAATATTTTCAAAGGTACAAAATAAACCAATAAATATTTACTTTAACAATTATTCGCAATACTACGCAGATTGGATTATAAAAAGCAACAGACTAACAAGGTATAAAATAAATTTGCACTTTATGTAAATGCTTTATCTACATACTAGCTGTTTCCGTGCGGCTTCATCCGCATGAAATTATGAAAATTTTATTTTATTGTTTACATTTATCAAATTATCAATAGCAAATGTCAAAATGACATGACATGACAACCTTGGCATTCTTGCTTTCTTGATGTTGGCAGCAACTTATTGTCTCTTTCCCACAGGGTTTTTATCCAAAATATTTACCCCTTAAGTTTAATGGCGTGAAAATATATAGCCTAAAGCGTGAAGTAAGTGTAGGGCAATTTCTTAAAAAAGGAAATTTTCAAAAATATGCTGCAATTGCTGACATCTTAGGCAACAAAGAAGTGTGTGTTTACGCTTTATTATAATAGTATAGATTTACTCCCGGAGTTTATAGTGCCCGCTCTATTGTTATTTGTAAGCTGCTTATATTAATAGTTTTTATTAAATTCCATAAGCCAAAGGCTTAGTCCGTATCGGTCTGTTTTAGTTTTACTTCTAATCTAGTCTAGATTTTGTTGTACTTAATCATTAAAAAGTTATGTCTGTATTTAAAAAATGTTAATAATTTTATTATTTTAGTCCCTTTCCCTTTCCATTCTTTTGTTATAAGGAAAGGTGCATTTGATGATGGAGAATATGCATGGGAAGGAGAAATATCCTCTAAAATCACTTTCAATCGAAGTCTCTAAAAAAATAATTGGAATTAGAGGATGCATAAAAAGTATCTACATTTTACAAGTAGATAAAATTAGGGATACATTAGGTAGCAATAAGGTCCTTTATAAAGAATTTCGATTTCACAAAAGTTTAAGTTTCAAATAAATTCATTAATTCGAATTATAGGATTACCAAAACCAAAAATTTATATAATAAAAATAATATTGCTTACTTGTAATTCATCGGGATCATATTTTTGTCGACAAGGCTCACATATGTAGCTATACCTCAATCTAAATGATGCAGTAAGTAACCTAACTGCGATATACGCGTTAAGGGCGGCCATCGCCAAGTTGTAGGGTACAAGTAGCCACGTCAATTGGAACGGTTGTCGATTCTTCATTAACTTAGGGCCAATCCACACGATAAATAGGTATAGAAGTGTGTACAATACTGTTGGTAATGGAGAGTCCACGAGTGGCCATCCTTTCGTTCTGTTATCTGCAAATTTAATTAAAATATTTTAATAATTAAATATTAAATTTATGTAATTACTATATTGACATCATTAATTTTAGGAATATAGATTTGTGTTTAGAGCAAGGTTTTTACCCTAAATAAGTAAGGAAAAATATCACGTGCAAATGAATGAAAATTCTTATATATATAAAAAAAGAAAACATATATATATATGTCATGTCATAGCCGTCGATTCTCTGAAGTAATCAAAAGCTTTTTCCTTTTTATACAACTTCCTATTTATTCAATATTTGATCCAAGCAATTTCTCCGGACAATATTCCTAATAATTGAATTTTTCCCCACAGATTTTTATGTTTGCAAACGATTTTGTGCTAACTCAATTTAAAAAATTACAAAACAAATAAAAAACTATAAAAAACTAGGTGTTAATAATAAAATATTATAATAAGTGACGTAATATTAAGAGCTCACGCACACATTTGACTAAACTATTGCACAACTGTTTAGTCTCGCTTTGATTCCTGTGAGCTTACATGGTGCGCACACTACTCCATTTTTAGCTGTGCAAATAAACAGTGGAATGGTTATCGAAACAATCGACAATCGCATAACAATTGTGAGATAGTTTATTCAAAAGTGTGCACCCGCTTTATGTTATTATTTAATTGTTATGTGTCCGCTATATTCGGTAGCGAAGTATGTTTAAATTTCGCCTTCCTACTATACAGGTGGATGCAGGTAACTGTGCTCATTTTATTTCTCCCGCACAACCGTCTTACGGCACAATTATAATCTCGATATATGAATAGGATGAAGATGCAACCATCTTTATTATGTTAATGTTTTTTTTTATGTATTATTAATTAATTTACCTGAAAGTGATAGTGTCCATAAGTAATAATCATATGTATCTTTTATCACAGTTTGTGTTGAATTTACTAACATTGTAGCCATTCTAGGATTTTTTTTTCGTGGTCAGGATATTATCTGAAAAAAAAAAACAGTTTAATGATCTGAAGATCTTTAGTTTAAACATTAAACATACTGTACACTTGATCACGGTCTTTAACAATAATCATCTATATCTATACTAATAAAGCATAAACACGCACTTTTTTTGCCTAACATGTCTGCAATTACAGCATATTTTTGAATAATACCCTTTATAAAAAGCATTACACTTGCGACACGCTTTAGGCTACATATTTTCACACTATTAAACTTAGGAGTTATATATTTTGAATAGAAACCCTAATTGCCAACATTAGGTAAGCAAGATTTTTATGGTAAAGGTAATTTTGACAATTGTAAACAACAAAATAAAGCTTTTATAATTTCATGCGGATGAAGCCGCACGCGGACAGATAGTTACTAAGAAAGTCAATTTTGCTATTGACTTCCACACTGTTATTTGACTAACGAGGGTAATATTCCTCGAATTCTATAGAGGCAAAATTACTTAACTTTCTTTAATGTCCGATCACGTTGTTTGTTTCATTTAATATTTACTGTAGACGATACATTAATAAGAATGCAATAAATTCTGCATATTAAAATACGAACGATGTCGAAGAATATTCATGACGAAACTGACAAACGTTTAACGCGAGAACAGAACCATTTATCTAGTAATGCGACATAAGCGCCAATAGCGTAACAGAGGTACAGATTTCTGGTCACGTGGTCGAGGATTCGAATCCCGCCATTCGACTATTGTGCTCCATATCCCCTTGCACAAGCTTAGAGCTTACTTGAAATGGAACAAAAAATAGTGAATTAACAATAATCTACCAGTATTAAAAAAATGACTTAAACCAACGTTTTTTGTCAGAGTACATACGTTTTCCGCATTTTAGGCGAGCGATATCTATCCTAATATTATAAAGAGGAAAGACTTGTATTTTTCTGTGTATTGAAATGACTCAAAAACTACTGGACCGATTTCAAATTCTTTCACCATTAGAAAGCTACGTCAACAAAGAGTAACATAGGCTATTTGATTATTTTTTAATTTCACGCAGTCGAAGATGCGAGTAATAGTTAGTTTTTGATATTCTTGGACCGAGGATTGAAGCGGAGAGACCGTTTTATGCTATTTTGTCGAACATCGTAGTCGGGTGCCTAAAGAGCACTAATACTTGTCAGACCTATTTTACGAGACTTGATAGTATGTAGAAAGTACTTTTCCTATCATTGGAGTTGTTTATTATCGTTATAATAAAATTTGCTGAATCATCGGTGAAAGTAAAAACTGTAACATTATTACGTAGTACTCTTGATATATTTTAATATTGTATTTCGATCTTCGTATTTATTCTTGTCCTTAAATTTTAATTTATTAACATCTTTAGATTAACGAATGTTTTAATTTTAAATCCGTTCATATCTCAGTAAGAATACTGTATCTGATAAATCCCAAACTGAAGTGAATTTCAGTTCGGGTTTTTTTTAGGATTTTGTTTTAAATTAAAAGTTCCGAGTATTCTTACAAGATTGTAAATCTATTTATGCTTTTTCATTGTAACGCTAAGTAATTCTAGTTTATGGTTTATTAACTTGGACATAATAGTGTTATTTAAAGTGTTAACTATTGATTTTCCTATTTACGTTTGTACCAAGGCCAGAGTTACAATGCAAAGTAAACTTCAAGTACCATATGTAACATTGGTACTAAAACAACTTTGTATAACTTTGTTATATTGTTTTTTAAAAATAATATATTGTGTTAATACGCATACACTTCAGTTTCTAGTCTAAATATTTATTCAAAAATATACTGTTATTGCTGAAATTTACACACATAATAAAATTGGAGTGTCTGTGACATCAGAAGAAAAATTTCATATTTCGGAAAGGTGATGTATTTGCCTTACTGATAGCGAAAATCGCATATATTTTTTTTATCTGTCTGTCTGCAAGCAGAGTTTATTCCGGGTAATCTCCGAAACGGCTGAAGTTCGACCGGATTTTCACTCAATGGTAACTGATATAGACGGTATATTATAGACTACTTTTTTGTCTTAATTTTGCGTGGACGAAGTCGCGGGCAACAGTACTAAATAACTAAGAAGAGTGTACGCAGTATTGATGTAGAATATAGGTTAATGTATTCGATATGAAAGTGTTTGCCTGAGGGGAATTGTACTACTTTACTAAACACAGGTGTGCAATATTACGTGGATGTAAATTTCGCTTTTAAGTTCATGTTCACAGTACTAAGAACATCAATTTTCAATGACACTTTATTATTTATTCCAGTTTTACAACTTACTTTTAAACTAGCATGCTACATTTTACTATTTACAGATATAAGACTAGCTGTTCCCGTGCGACTTCATCCGCACGAAATTATGAAAAAAAATTATTTAATGTTTACATTTGTCAAATTACAAATGTCAAAATGACATAACATGATGACAACCTTGCTTTCTTGATGTTGGCAACAACTTATGGTCTCTTTCCCACATTAGGGTTTTTATCAAAATTTTTATATCCTAAGTTTAATGGCGTGAAAATATATAGCCTAAAGCCTGACGTAAGTGTAGGGCTTTTTATTAAAAAAAGAATTATCCAAAAATATGCTGTAATTGCTGAGATCTTAGGCAACAAAGAAGTGAATATTTACGCTTTATTATAATAGTATAGATAAGTAGACAATCGTTTTTACTGTTATAAATTTTAGTATCTTAAGGGACTTTCATTTATAAATATGGAGAAACTATTCAACGATTTCTCTCGTCGATTGCATTTTAAAATATATTCATTGTCAGTCAAATATATTGAGTTCAAGCTTTTCTAACAAAGAGATAAAAGTCTTTTGTAGTTAGTACATCTCAATGGTCATTCAATGAAGAGAAAGTGATGGTGTACGGAGGTTTGCGTGCGCGAGGGACTGCGCGACCCTCTGCAACACGTACCGCTCTGTGACGGTCGTGTCCGCAAATACATTTATAAACTAAGGCATTTGACCCAGTAATAAAAGATATTAAATTGCAATATCTAAGATCACTGTCTTCACGATAACGTTTCGTTTTATCATTGATGACATTTGTAGAATTATTTTTATAAAAGTCCAATTTAATAAAATATATCTGATTTATTTAAATCGAGCATATATTTGAATTGAGCATTTTTATTTACAAAAAGTTGTTTATTATGATATTTTCTATCTTTTGCAAGATAAATATTATTCAGAATTCGAATCAAACATTCGCTTTCCACGTAAATTAAACTCCGTCAACACTTTAACAAAACCATCTTAATCCAATTATCAGTGCTGTTTCCGATCCGCTTAAGTATTCATTGCTTGTTTGTTTTGGAAACGCAGTCGTGCGGATTCAAAATTTTGTTTGAAACGGTTATACAGATGCTTTTAGCCCCTTCAAGTTGTTTTAAGGAGCGTGTTAAATAAATAAGCCTCAATATAGCTGCAAATCATCACAAAATTAAATTTAACTAATAAATACAATTAAACAAATTGGAATAACTGTAGGTAATGTCGAAAAAAATCGAATCTTTTTAAAACTAAATAAATACTATGCTAAAAAGCTCAATTAATCCAATCAAAACTTTATAAACGAAAGGCTTTTTACGTAACTGTCTTGATTTAATTAGGAAAGAATTGCTTTTAAATCTACGACTACCCATTAGTTAAGATTCTTTAGTTTTAAATGCATTATGTAGAATCGAGAGGTACTTAAGAATTGAAGTAAAATTTTCCCCTTTGTGAAAATGGACCTGTTACATTTTAACTTATTTTATAAAGAAGCTTTAGATTTTTTGAGATCGTCATTTTTTACACAAGCTTTTGCTCGCGACATCCCTGTGGCATTAAAAAAAACAAGAGACAGTAGCCTATGCGTTCTTCCAGATTATGCTCTATATCTATGCAAAATTTCATAAAGAACCGTTCAGCAATTTAAGCTACAAACTCTAACAAACAGCCATCTATCACTTTCGCATATATAATTATTAATAGTGCTGTACTTAAAGATATTTGCTCCAAATATCGTAATTGTTCATGAAAACGTTATTAACTTAACTAAGTTTCTCTACATATCTGCTAGTTTTACTTACCGGATGGCAGTAACTCAAACCCTATTTGAGTAATTCAATTACTTTTACAATTTAGTAAGCTTAGTATGATTTTGTTATAGTGCCTCATTATGTTGTTGTTTTAAATGACGGTTATTGAACTATAATAGGTATATGCAACATTTTAATTTTGATATTTGTATTAAAACTTGAAAACGTTTTTGTCATTTTTAATAAAAAAAATAGTAACAGTGGTAGAGCCCGCTTTAACATCTTCGCACGAATGGGCCGGCTCGCCCGGTGTTATACC